GATCTGAGAGTGGTGCCACTACTTAAAACACTCAAGAACATGTGGAGGGATTCCTGAGGTTAAGCTCTCTAAAGGTCATAAAACTTCTAGAGCCAAAATCCACGGCAACAGCTACCATGGAACATGGAACTAGTGTGATAAACATTGTTGGGGACATCCATCTTCACTGTAGCACAGGGGGTTCTGAGAGGAAGCAGAAATCAAGAGGCCACAGGGGAGGAAAGTTGCCTCTAATCAGACTGATTGGGCTGCCACCATCACAAACCTCTATTCCCAAGAAGATATTATTGAGTGTTTACTGTGTGTCATTTGTCATAATGTGCATCTTTTTTTCCTTTTCTAAATTTAAATTAGAAACAAGCTTATTTTACATGTCAGTCTCAGTTTCTTTCCCTCCCCTCCTCCCCTGCCCCCCCACCAACCACCTATCCCATACCCTTTCTGCTCCCCAGGGAGGGTGAGGCCTTCCATGGGGGATCTTCAGAGTCTGTCATATCATTTGGAGCAGGGCCTAGACCCTCCCCCATGTATCTAGGCTGAGAGAATGTCCCTTTATTTGAAGTGGGCTCCCAAAGTCCATTCATACACTAGGGATAAATATGGATCCACTACCAGAGGCCCCATAGATTGCCCAGGTCTCCAAACTGACATTCTTGTTCAGGAGGTCTGGAAGAGTCCTATGCTTGTTTCCCAACTATCAGTTTGGGGTCCATGAATTCTCCCTTGATCAGTGGTTCCTCAGTAAAATGGGAATCAGTATACCACCAGATCTAGCAATTCCACTCTTAGGCATATACCCAAAAGATGCACATTCATACAACAAGGACATTTGTTCAACTATGTTCATAGTAGCATTATTTGTAATAACCAGAACCTGGAAGCAACCTAGATGCCCCTCAACTGAAGACTGGATAGAAAAAAAATGTGGTATATTTACACAATTTTCTGCTACTCAATGGGGGAAAAAACAATGGAATCTTGAAATTTGCAGGCAAATGGATGGAACTAGAAGAAACCATCCTGAGTGAGGTAACCCAGTCACAAAAAGACAAACATGGTATGTACTCACTCATATATAGATTTTAGACATAGAACAAAGGATTACCAGCCTACAATCCACACCACAGAGAAGCTAGGAAACAATGAGGACCCTAAGAGAGACACACATGGTCCCCCAGAGAAGGGGGAAGGGACAAGATCTCCTGAGCTAATTGGGAGCATGGGGGGGAAGGGAGAGGGAGTTAGGAGAAAGAGAAGGGGAGAAGAGGAGGAGAGGAGGACATGAGGGAGCAGGAAGATTGAGTCAGGGGAAGAATAGAGGAGAGCAAGAAAAGAGATACCATGATAGCGGGAGTCATTATAGGTTTAAAGAGAAATATGGCACTAGGGAAATGTCCAGAAATCTACAAAGATGACCCCAACTAAGAATCTAATCAATAGTGGAGACGTTAGCTTAAATACCCTTCCCCTATAATGAGATTGATGACTACCTTATATGCCATCCTAGAGCCTTCATCCAGTAGGCAGAAGCAGACATTCATAATGTGCATCTTACATGTGTTAATCCACTTATAACCATATCACCCTGAGACAGCTCAAACAGTGCCAACATATGGTCAGTGTTGGTTTGATTTTTAAATGCAAGTTAAGGTATTCCTGATTCTTGGCACAACAATTCTTTTAACCGAATCTGTGTGGTCTTGAAGAAAATGAGTCATTTAATTTTTCTTGGTGAGGAGGACTCCCTCTCCACCCTCTCAGTGGGGAAGAGCACAGCCTCTACTGTCTGGCGAGACTGCAGTTGAATTCCTTGTTCCAGTCTCCAGTAGTCTAGCAGAGGGTGGGCACACGAGTTCAGCCTTCTTCTGCCCTCTGCTAATGCTTCCTGGTGGGAGGCGCAGGGTGTTCTCTCCCCAGTCCTAACTGGCACCACAGGGACATGCCCTGGTCCTGCAGGATGTGGGGAAGGCGATCTCAGCACTTAGGATCCTATGCCTTTAATCCCAGCACTGGAGAGGAATATAAGGCAGGAGCAGACAGGAGCTCAGTGCAGTCTGAGGTTGGGTGGAGACAGATGCTGTCTGGAGATGCAGTCTGAGGACAGGATCACCCTTTGGTCTGAGCATTGGTAGAGGTGAGAACTCTCTAGTGGCTGGTCTCTTTGCTTCTCTGGTCTTGCTTCAAACCCGTTGTCTGTCTCTGGGTTTTCAGAATTAAGACCGATTAGAATTACTGCTACATGTGCCAGTGAGGAGGGGCCCTCCGCCAGGGTGATGGAGGTCTCAGCTGGAAATGGAAGCTCGTGGAGTTACCATGGAAGCCATGTTCTGGGTCTCAGTGAGTAAAGGTGCCGCAGGGGTGAGGAGCTGAGTCATGGTGAGGAGACAGCTTCACATGGGGGACGGTGAGGGAATGCTCTGCTCTACTGCCCGGGTGGAGAGAAACCCTCTTCTGGTGTGGACTGAAGCCCGCACTGCTCTGCCCGGTCCTGAGCTCACACGACCCACTTCAGCAGTCTCTCAAGCGAGTCTGGGCGTAGAGTACCCGTCCTTCTCCCCCAGAGCCCTCTTCACCCTGCTCCACGGCCCATGTCTAAAACCCGCTCAAGCGCTAGACCCATTGGAGCAGAGCCACCCACCCCAGCGAGGATCTGGTCTCTGTCACCTTCCCTCCCGGAGCCAGAGCCAGACACAGTGACTAAGCACTCGGCCTGCCTTGACCAACCTGGGCCACGGTACAAGGAAGGAGGAACGGAAGGCCAGAGACACATCTGCTTCGAAAACTCTGCAAATGGTCCGTGCACAGGGCTGTGATGACCCTGCTGCCCCATTGGAAAGGCGTTGGTGGCCTCCAGAGCCCGGGGTCACCAGGGCCCCTCCAGCACCAGCAGCAGGGTCTGGGCAGTGGCGTTCTTCCTCCTGGGTTCCTTTTGGAACACACAACCCAGCGCCCTGAAACATCTTTGCAGGAGCAAATGCCTTCGCCATTTGTCCTCTTTGCAACCTCCCAGGGTGACTGGATCTCCCTGCACTTAGCATCTCTGAGCATCCCGGAGTGAGTCTCCAGCCCCGGCAGCGAGGGTGGAACTATCTGATAGTTTCTAGGGCTGCCTCGGCAGCTGGTCAAGGAGACCCCGTGAGCTTCAGGCAGGAGCTGGTCCACCTTGCTAGTCTACAGCTGAGCTGTGAGGACGCAGAGACGCAGAAAGGAAAGGCGGGGAATGGGGGCTGCCTGCTGGGGTCTGAGGGCCGTTCACTGTGAAGAGAGAAGACTAGGAGCCCAGACCGACAATGATAACTAAACCTCCGCCCGGCGGCAGCGGGGGAAGAATCTGAAGTAGAACAGTCTGTGAAGCATCCAGGGAGAGGGAACCTGGCTCTGTGGAGAGGCTTGGATGGAGGCTAAGGAGTAAGTGCAGACACCGGGAAGGTGTCGAGGAGCAGGTTTCTGACCTGTCCTAGCCCCACACTCTGTTCGCATCTCCAACGAGAACATGTTTAGGTGTTGGGGGATGGTTTGTGCACTCCAAACTCCAAATTCCCACGTTGAGTCCGCCTTCTGTAGCTCAGTCCAGCTATATTTGGAGACAGGATCTTGATACAGCAACTAAATGAAAATAAGACTCTTTAAGGTAGTCCCTAACCTAACGTGGCTGGCATCTTCGGGAGAGATTAGGACCCAGGCATATAGAGGGGAAACACCACATGAAGACAGAGTTTGGCCAGTGACCCATAAGCCACAGAGAGGAGCCTCAGAAACCAACCACGGCACCTTCCTCTCTGCCTTGCAGCCCCCAGAACTCTGAGAAGAGACGTGTCCACTGTGTACCTCCTTGATACTCTGTGATGGCAGCCCAGGCCAGCGAGCACAGCTGCCAACGGCGGGGTGCACCTATGTCTAAAACTGAGTAAGCCAGAGCTAACCGGCCTGGTCTCTGCAGCCATCCAGCACAGAGTTCACCCGTGGTTTCTGTCCAGTGGAGGCTTGCCCTCCTCCCCCAGCTCTCCTTCCTGTGGCTAAGGACAGTGTTCTTCAGATTCTAACGTCTTCCTCCTCCACCCTCTGCCCTCTGCCCTCTGCCCTCTTCTGTGTATTTGTCATTGTGACACACTGATGTCTGGCACGATGATGCCCTTTGACATTGAGAAATAATGGCAATGGTGACGGCACGGGCGAGCCACACGCCTCAGTTCTTCCTTTGCTCTCTGGAAGAGACCCTGAAGACAAGCAGGTGTGGCCACTGTCTGCTCAGCGGTGTTTCTAAGGCAGAGCCTGGGGCTGGGGGATCAGGCTCGCTTTCATAGGTTACGCAGGGGCACCTGGGAAGGAGGGAAGCTGACACTGAGGGGAACCACAGAGACACACGGGCCTTATGTGTGAGAGGTCCTCACCTCTGCTCAGTCGGCAAGGTGTAGACCCCAGAAAAGTGACTGGAGAAAGGTGTGTGCATATGCGTGTGTGCTCATGATGCTCGTGAGAGTATGTGAGGTAGTCTTGGTTTCCTTCAGGACAATTCTCACCTTCGACATTAATGAGGGCAGAATTTCCTGGTTTTCTGCCAATGGCTTCATTTTCTAGAATAGTGTCTACATATGATAGGCTCTAAGACACTGCTGGAGGAAGGAAGAAGGAAGGAGAGAGAGAGAGAGAGAGAGAGAGAGAGAGAGAGAGAGAGAGAGAGAGAGAGAGAGAGAGAGAGAATCAGGAGGAAAAGAGGAGAGATTTTTGTCCTTCGAAAAGTGCAATCTGACTCTGTTGCCCCTAAGGGTACAGGACTCTGGCATTTGCCTGTAAAGAGGTACTTTGGTGTCACCCTCCCATTTCTTGTCCCCACAGCCTGGAGTGGGGACAAGGCTCCTGACCACTTGAGTATTCCGAGGGGGGCAGACTCAGGTAGAGGGCGTTGCTGTGACTGGCAGAGAAAACCAAGCTGCTACCCTGCCAAGTGTCCTTGAACTTGAGAGCAGCACTCCTCTCTGTGCTATAAAGGCTGCATGACGAGGGGACTCAAGCAGGACACCGTCCTAGCCCTTTATCCCAGGAGGGGGCAGGAAGATGGCCCTGGTCTTGTGGGCCTTTGCTTTGTTGGGCTCCGTCTGCCTGGCAGCAGCCAACATCTTTGGTAAGTTCTAAGGCTGAAGCCATGGGTTTGAGGGGAGAATTTTAGGCGTGGGACTCAGCCAGGTGCTGGGAGGGCCCCTAGGCATGCCTGGTCTCACCCAACGTCACAAATGCTAGATATGTGCTCTTTTCTGTTTAGATGAAAAGAAGTTCAGGGAGGTGTTCTCTGAGATTCCAGAACTAGGAATTGGTGGAGTAGTGATAAACTAAGTCAGTCATAGCTTCCCCTTATCTCACCCTTACCTCATATTTTTGGCATTTTCATATACTTCTAATATATATTCGGATAGTCCAAAGAATATCCCAGCCATGCCAGTGTTTGAGAAGATTAAAGCAGGCAACAAACATGATAGATCACCCTATGGCTTTAGATAGACTCTGTACTGGGCTCAGCAAAATGTCTATTCAGCTGTGCACAGACTTTCAAGTTTCAGTTACTTTGGTAAAATCAAGCAGAGCGAGGCCAAGAAGATGACTCAGCTGGCCGGGCATCTCCTTGGGGTGTGTTTATGAGCACCTGAGTTTGGATCTCTAGAATCCGCATAGAAGCCAGGCTCTGTGGTGTGTATCTGTAACCCCAGGCCTAGAAGAAGCAGAGACAGGAGGATCCAGTGAGCTCACTACCAATCTGTTTAGTCAACCAGTGGGCCCTAGGTGCCATGAGAGACCCTGTTGTAAAACATAGAGACATTAGTGAGGAAGACACACACACACACACACACACACACACACACACACACACGGGGTGGGGAGGGTGTGCAATGAATGTACACTTAGCTCCTGAGGTGGTTGTGATTTCTGAGTGAGATCAGGCCATCGGGTGGGTCTTCAGTGACAAATAAGAGACATTTGCATTGTGAGCCCGAAGGGTGTTACCCCACAAGCATGACTTGGTGACGGCAAGACCAACTTCCAGACTTATGGATGGTGTTTTATCCTAACCCACAGTGACTCAGGCACATAAAGACCCCAAAGCTGACTCAAGAGTCCTTTTTCATAAGGTATAATCTCACTGGAGCCCATGGCTTGATGCCCTGGGAGAGTGGAGATATTCCCATCACCTCCCAGGAGGTGATTAAATGAACTCATCTTGCTCTGGGGATGGCATGAATGGCTGTTAGCGCTAAGTAACCCTAGGAATATAAAGGCTGCGTGTCTGTATCTGAAGCACTGTCGTCTGTGTGACGGGGACCTGGCCTGCACCCCTCATGTGTTCCTTCCCTTCACGTAGAGTACCAGGTGGATGCGCAGCCACTCCGCCCCTGTGAGCTGCAGAGGGAGAAGGCCTTTCTGAAGCAGGATGAATATGTCCCACAGTGCTCTGAAGATGGGAACTTCCGGTAAGGATGGCTTTAGTAGGAGCTCCAGGAACCCAAAATGCTCTAAAGAACTCATTGTGTCCCAGCTCTGCCCACCCAGTTCCTGGGAGATGGCTAGCCGTGCTGTTGTTAGGAGGGGCCCCTTCTCTGTCCCGGAAAGACAGTCTGCTGGAGAGAGCCCCTGACGGCCCCTCAGTTGTTGCTGGAGCTGTGTTTATTGCTTCACAGAATAATGTGTGAGGCCTTTTAGCAAAGGCCCAATAGAGGTAAGGGTACTACTCCTAGGCACCTACTCTCTAATTCCCTGGCAGGCAAAGCAGGAAACTGCATGTTCCTTCGCCTACCCTGTTTTCTTAGCTTCCCTGGGCCGCTTGGCCACTCTTCTCCCCTGGGAACTCTGCTCTGAAAGGGGCCTTTGTTGACACATCCCAAGACACCCTTAGGATTGTCTTCCTCCACGTAGAGCCAGGTTAGGGTCCCCACTCCTGTTCCCTGTGGATCTAGAGGCCTTATTCCACCCCACCCCCTGCGCAGTCACGTGATGAGGCCTAATCTCTAGCTGTGAAATACTGCCCCTGCTTCCTTACTCTAGCACTCCTCAAGCAAACACTGCTGCTTGTCTCTCCGGAACCTCTGGGAATTTCAGGGTTGTAGGGTGTGTGCACCCCATTCTGAAAGCCTTGTATATGTTCCCCCCACTGAAGTTTGGGCCTGCCTTGACCCCAGGAGGGAAGTTCTTTTTCAGTGGATAGATGAAAGCTTCATCTGGGTCTTTGGTTTGATGAGGCCAGCATGGTTGCTTTGGGAACCATGACGGCTCTTCACACTCTGACATGCCTCTCCCTGCCCAGACAACTTCTACCCCAGGCTATCCTGAAGCTCTCAGTGTAGCCTCCCCTGCCCTAGGGATTCAATCCATGGCCTTGTCTGATCACAATTTTGGATTTTCTGTGTGACTTGCTAGCCCCTGGTTGATGGGGGATGTCCTTCTGTATATATATATTTCTCTTATTGGTTGATGAATAAAACACTGTTGGCCAATAAGGCAAGAAGATAGGCGGGACTAGGAGACAAGGGGAATTCTGGGAAAGGTAGGCAGATGGAGCCCTCCACAGAGTCTCCATGTGGAGCCCAGGAAAGTAGAACACAACAGGTATTCTCCAGTAAGACAAGGCCATGTAGAAATACATAGATTAATAGAAATGGGCTAATAGTTAAAACAGAGCCAGCCAACAAGAAGCCCTAGACACCAGCCAACAGTTTAATAAGTAATATAGCATCTGTGTGTTTATTTGGGACTCAAGGGCCACAGGACCAGCTGGGCCAAGAAGCTCCTGTAACACCTGGTCTCACTGAGTTAGAGCCAGAATGTGGTGGCTTCAGAAACCCCTGATGGTATCATGTCATATGTCTCTCTTCAGGACAGTTCAATGCCAAAATGATGGCCGATCCTGTTGGTGTGTGAATGTTGACGGGCGGGAAGTACCTGGCAGCAGGCAGCTGGGGAGGCCAAAAGCTTGTAAGTAACAACGGGGCACCCAGTGGTCAGCAACCCTTACACTGGGATTCCTCACATCTAGAGACAAGAATGGGCTTAAGTAAATGAGCTGGGCAAGTCTTCCTAAGGGCTGCTGGCTCCTCCTCACTGAGTACCAAGGAGGTCCAGTTTCTCAAAGATCACTATGAAAACCATATGAGATGCTCAAGCCTGGCCCGTAGCCAGCAAGGACTTCCCATGAGTCGGCTGCTGTGCCCAGCACTGAGTCAGTTACGGCCAGTACACATTGGAGGGCTATGAAGCCAGGTCAGATCTCAGCAATGTTTGTCCAACGGTGAATGCAAGGCTCAAAGGGAAGTTCCTTTTCAGTGGATAGATGAAAGCTTCATCTGGGCCTTTGGTTTGATGAGGCCAGCATGGTTGCTTTGGAAACCATGACGGCCCTTCACACTCTGACATCATCACCTTAACCAAAGTCACCCATCCTTTGTGATCCACACACACCCAGCCCCAATCCACAAAGCGAAGGGAGAACCTGGTGCATGCTAGCTATTCCATAGGAGCCAAAGCAGAGGGATTCCTCCCTACACACACCACATCCAGGGTGAGGCAGCTGTCTTCTCACTCATAGAGAGAGAGAGAGAGAGAATTTCAGAGTAGTGAAGCAGCTTCCCTGGCAACATGGGCAGCTCACACAGAAATCCGGATTCAGAGGCTCTGGCAACCCTACCGGAAACTCCTCTGTGGTGCCCAGGAGCTAGTGAGAGCCACCCCACCCTACCAGAAACTCCTCTGTGGTGCCCAGGAGCTAGTGAGAGCCACCCCACTCTGCCTCAGCTCCCCAAACGACAGAGCCTTCTGCGTGTCTGGCTGAGTGTCCCTCTGGAAGGAAGGCCCTCCTGGGTTTGGTCCCATGTGCTCCCCAAAGCCCTCCCCCTCTGATGCTTGTCTTTGTGCCTCCAGGTCTGTCCTTCTGCCAGCTACACAGGCAGCGGATCCTGCTGAGCAGCTACATTAACAGCACAGACGCCCCCTACCTCCCTCAGTGCCAGGGCTCCGGGGACTATGCCCCCGTGCAGTGTGACCTGTGGCAGGCGCAATGCTGGTGTGTGGACACAGAGGGCATGGAGGTGTACGGCACCCGCCAGCTGGGGCGGCCAACGCGGTGTAAGTGTCACTGTCCTGGGCACCAGAATCCCTGAGTGGGCCGTCGTTTGCCTTCACAGAAATCACGCGCCTGCTGACACAGAGAGTGCCTGACTCTCGAGGTGTCACACAGTGTGTGAATGTACACAGCTACAAGCCCAGATGCTGTTCGGGGGGTTTCCACGGGTTGCATGGGTAGCATCAGTGCAGGCATCTTGATGTAGGTACCTCCCCATCCATGAGAACTGAACAGCTTTGCATGAAAATTTTAGGTCCAAGGAGCTGTGAGATACGAAACCGCCGTCTCCTCCACGGGGTGGGAGACAAGTCGCCACCCCAGTGCTCTGCAGATGGGGACTTCATGGCTGTCCAGTGCAAGTTTGTCAACACCACAGACATGATGATTTTTGATCTGATCCACAGCTACAACAGGTAAGGAGGTCTGTCCCTTTGCGGGCAGGCGCTTAGGGAGCCGTTGGCTCTTCAAGCTCATGTAGGTGCCAGGATCTAGGAGTGTCATGCATTACATGCAGCCCGGTGGAGAGTTAAGAAGGAGATGTCATCTGGGAATAGCTATTGCCATTGCAATAGCATCATCTTAGGCAGTGTTCCATTGCTGTGGCGAGACACCATGACCATGCCTGGCAACTCTCATCAAAGAAAGCATTTAATTGGGGACTGGCTTGCAGTTTCAGAGGTTTAGTCCATTGTCATCGTGATGGGAAGAGTGGTGGCGTGCAGGCAGGTGCTGGAGCGGTAGCTGAGAGCTGCATCCTGATTGGGAGACAGAGAGAGAGAGACAGAGACAGAGACAGAGAGAGACAAAGAGAGACAGAGAGAGAGACAGAGACAGAGAGAGACAGAGAGAGACAGAGAGAGAGACAGAGACAGAGAGACAGAGAGACAGACAGAGACAGAGAGAGAGAGAAACAGAGAGACAGACAGAGAGAGAGACAGACAGAGAGAGGCAGAGAGAGAGACACAGAGACAGAGACAGTCAGAGACAGAGAGCAAGAGAGACAGAGACAGAGAGAGACAAAGACAAAGAGGCAGACAGAGACAGAGAGAGAGGCAGAGAGAAACAGAGAGAGAGACAGAGAGAACGGCAGAGAGAGACAGAGAGACAGAGACAGACAGAGACAGAGACAGAGAGAGAGACAGACAGACAGAAAGACAGAGACAGAGAGACAGACAGAGACAGAGAGAGAGACATAGAGAGAAAGAGACAGAGAGACAGACAGAGACAGAGAGACAGACAGAGATAGAGAGAGACAGACAGAGAGAGACAGACAGAGACAGAGAGACAGAGACAGACAGAGACAGAGAGACAGAGACAGAGAGACAGAGACAGAGAGAGGCAGAGAGAGAGACAGAGACAGAATGATAGAGACACAGAAAGAGACAGAGACACAGAGACACAGAGAGACAGAGACAGAGAGAGAGAGAGAGAGAGGTATAGGCTTTTGAACCCTCAAAGCCCCCACCAGTGACACACTTCTTCCAATCCGGCCACACCTTCTAATCCTTTCCAACAGCGCCACTCTCTGGTAATGAAATCTATCAGCCCATGGGGGCCGTTCTCATTCCACCTGCCATGTACATGTGTGTACTCTCTGCCCACTAGCCCACCACGCCAGTGAGAATGTGATAACCTGCGTGTCAGGGCGCTTGCCTCATGCTTCTCCATCCTAGCAGAGAACTAGGGAGAGAGTGACAGCTTCTCAATCAGGGGGAGTGGCTGGCTAAACGGAAGATGCCGTAAACATTTGAATAAGCTCTCCAAAGAAGGCACCAGAGCTGGAGAATCGAGCTGGAGAATCTGACGCGAGCGCGGTTCCCGAAGCAGGCTATACTGACGCAGTTCCAGATGGGTAGTAGTGTAAGCGCAGGGTTTGATTATTAAAAACCAGCAGCAAAGGGTTCTTCACATGTGTGTACATGTGGCCCCTGTGATCAGATGCGCATGTTGGCTCTGGAGAGAACCAGGGACGGAGGGTGATGTGAAGGACCACACGGTTGCTGAGGGGCATTTGAAGAGCGGGTCTGTAGTGGAAAGGAGGACAGAAAGAGGCTCCTGGTCAAAGGGAAAAGAGCCCATTAAAAATCATGGCTATGACATGCCCGTGCATGTCTGTGAGTTCTGCATGTGTGTGCATCAGTAAAGGACTTCTGTGTCTAAATACCAAATATCAAATAGAAGCACCATAGACACCCTGACCCAGCTATCTAGGGAGCACCTGGCCGCTCTAGATTACCCGGTGATTGTGAGGGGCCGTGCAGACCGTAGATGAAACCAGACCGTTCCGAGCACAGAAGAAGAAAGCAGCGGCTTGTGGGAATGCTGCTGTGAATTCCGAGAGAGAACCTGAGCCTCCGTGTGGCTGCCTTCCAGAAGGACCCATTTGCCTGTGAGAGAGAACGGTTCCCACATGTCGTGCCAGATGGGTCGCAGACCACGACCCGAGTGCTGCTCCCACAGACAAGCTGGAGCTGGGCCGCACCGCCCGCTAGAGGCTTAGCATTTTCACTAGATCGCCCCCTGCAAGGGTTCCACAAGACTCGGTATCAGCGATTTCATCCGTTCAGCCTAAGCCACGAAACTCACAGTACCGTTTTTTGTTTGTTTGTTTGTTTGTTTTGAGATGGTGCGCGCGTGTTTATGTGAATCCAGACTTGAGTTGTCTGTTTGTGTCCTGGGTCCCTCGGAGCCTGGCCATCTCACTCCCGCCAGCTGCTTCCTGTCCAATCCGGCTTCAGAGCCGTTGCGGCTGCCCCCCTGTGCTCTCTCCATCTAACGCTGGTCCTTCACCGGCCTCAGTGTTCTCAGCTGGGAAATGGAAGCTCGCACTCTGTTGGCCACTGTTAAGCTCTCCCATGACTCCACTTACGAAACCATGGAGAACATGCATCTCCCAATTTCAGAAAACATAGGTTGGATTCTAGGTTGGATTCTAGCTCACCCAGGAGCACAGAATCATCAGGCAGCCCGACTCTCCGAATGCTCATCTACTCCTGGGCAAGCCAGGCTTCATCAGTCCATGCCCAACTGAATGCTAACTGTGGCCCAAGGACTTGTGTAGATCTCAGCTTTAATGAAGGCGTAACTAGAAAGTGTAGTCTCTGGCATATTGCCATGGAGCCTGGAAGACATTACTCGGAAACATAGTACGTTTTAGAGATGCACAGGAAGTCGTTCACTTGCCTGTATTTATGTGGCTGGTGTCTCTTCCCCCACGGCATATGTCACGGTGTCTTGCATACAATCCCAGTTTAGAGAGGTATCAAAGACCTTAGCAAGGAACGTTTGCGATTGAGGCTCAGTTCATAGCTACGGCCACGAGAGGGCAGTCTAGTTAAACTCAAAAATTGAGAACCAAGCATTCATTGTGAATGCAAACAAAACATTCAGTTCTGAAATGGGATCCTTTCCCTTTTGTTGTGAGTAAGCAGATCTTTGAGCTGATCCTGGCCTGGGAAGGTCATGGGAATGGTTGGGTATTTGATTATTGCAAGCCCAGGAGTAAACAGGAATCTTCTGATACTTACGTAGATCTGGCTGCCCCAGGCCCAGTGTCTCCTTTGGGCCAATGGAAGGAGCTGTGGAATCCATGTGGAATAGGCTGAGCTCACCTGGGGTTGACAGATGTAATACAGGACAGCCGGGTACAGCTGGGTTACACACAGGCAATGGGTGGTTTTGTTTTACTGTGTGTCCCTGACATTGCCTCAAATATTGTAAGCTGGGGCAGGGAGTGGGTTGAGGATTTGAGTCTGTAGTGCACTGCAAAAACACCACCAGATCCCAGACTTTCAAAAGAAGTACCTGGGGCATGGAAGAGCGGAGTGGGTGCCGGGAGCCCATCCCGAGTCCCGGGTTCCGTTCGGCGGGAGATGATCGTGGCTCCATGGAGAACGGGGAGGGTGCTTGGCAAGTGGAGATACACGGGAGACACATTTACCACACAGGACTTTGTAACGTGGGGAAGACCATCTGGAGGAGAGGGAGAAGAGAGCGAGGGTGACTCCGTTCCGAGCAGGTGGTTGAAAGCGTGTTTGGTAGGGGAAAGCCACTATTCGGGTTTGGAGTATTCACTCTGAGAAGGTTTCCTTGCAGATGTGGCCTGGATGACAGACTTGACACCTGGGGAGGTCTTAGAAACCCTGACACCCAAGGACAGCTCATTTTCCAGACTCCCATGAGGTCTTAATGTGCAATGCTGCAATCCGTGCTCGAACCTGGCTGTGGTGGGTCCTCTTCCACCCCGAGGAAAAGCGATTACTCACTACAGAAACTTAGGAGTTGCTTTGCGACGGGCAGTAGCCAAGCTGGTTCTTCTGGCTTCTCGATCTTTCTAGCCACAGCCCAGTCACAGCTGTGGGGGAGCCCTGCAGAACTTGAAGCCTGGCCAGTGCCACTGTCAAGGTCTTAGTGGTTTGTGTCAAAATTTTCTTACCAACCCTTATCATTAGTTACTCTGCTGGCCCAAGAACTTGGGATTCAAGGCCAGTTGGAGGTAGGGCCCCAAAGAACCGCATTCTATTCGAGTGCGCGTCTTACCTTCTGGCCTTCTCCCTGGGAAAGGAACAGTGGAAGTGGGCTCAGGGTGCCCTGGGAAGTGGGCTCAGGGTGCCCTGGGAAGTGGGCTCAGGGTGTCCTGGCTCTGTACCCCAGCTTTCCCAATTGCCAGCCGGATCCTCTTTTTAGAGCAATGTTGTGAGAATGGAATGAGGTAGGCTATGGAAAAGGCTTGGCAGAGTGTCTGACTGTCCCCTGCACAGTGCTTATGACTGCTTCTGAGTAGTATTGATAGTGACAGTCACTGTGGTAGGCCAGGGTGATTCATGGTCATGCCGATTCAAGGTCCCCAGCTCCTGCCATTGAGTACAGAGCTGAGGAGAGAGAATCACACACAGAGGCACGAGGTCTTCTCCACAGGCACTGAGAGCGGTGATAACAGACCTCCAGGAAATAGTCCTGGAATGACGGAAGGACCCTGAAGCCAGGGAGAGACCTTCAGTATGCAGGATGCAGAGAGATCAAGAGAGACTCACCAAGTGCACTGGAAGATACTGGCTTCTTGGTAGACCAGGAACCCCAAGAAGGGGACTTTGACTATAAAATGGTGGAGTAGAAATCACGTAAAGACCCTGGAGGCGACACCTTCTCTGGGCTGAGGTGGGCCTCTGAGTTAGTTACCTCAGCACTTTATGATGTAGGGCGATTTAAACATCTTGGGCCTTTTGCTGGAGTGGGTGTCTGGGCCCTCTCAGCCATCTGCGGAACTGGTATGTGCATTTGACCTCAGCACAGTACCTGCAACATATCTTAGATGCCAGGGAAAGCGAGGGGTTGAGCATGCGCAGAATAATGTCACAACAGACATGTGTCTCTGAAGCCATGGGGCAGGAACCAAGCCCAACAACCCACACTGAGAAACACTACTGGCAGAGAGCAGGGTCGGATGGTGGATAAGACCAGATGTGAATCCAAGGCACTTCCATTAGGCCAAGACAGCAGCCCACATTCCTCAGTGTCTTCATCTCGAAGACGATATGAAAGTAATCCTGCCATCTTGTGAGCATTAACGACTCAGCGGATTGTGAGCCCCTTTTGCAGTTGTCATTTGCAAAGCAGGGCTCAACAAATAGAAGCAACTATTTTACTATCGCTGACGCTTGTAAAACCGAATTACCCCCCGTTCCCAATGAATGAACCTTTAAAAAGTTATTTATCCTCTATCTGCAGGAACAAGACAAAGAGATTTTTTTTTCTGTTTCTACTTTCGCACCCCACTTGTGATAGCATGCTTTCCCAAATAGCCCGTGAGCCCACAATAATAGACGAGCAGCATGGTCACAGGTCTGTGATTCTGTAGCACTTTCTGTGCTTGTAAAGCAAACTTGGCCTTTGGACTCTGGAGTCGCCTCAGTTAAGGAACCAGCTGATACAATGCTCATATCACTCGAGTTGACTGATACTTGCGTCTTGTGTGATACATGTTCAGAATCGGTCAGGGTTCCCCTATATTGCCTTCCAGAGCTGGCTTTTCATGGTAGTGATCATGATGTGTGTATTTGCTGTCTTATACCTGTCCCTTTTGAATGATGCTTGCTCTTTCCTCATTTATAAGTTTTGTTCTCATCTGTAGTATTTTATCCAATTTGGGGGGTTACTGTAATTCACTCCATTTCTCTGCCATTGGACATGCAGGTAGTTTTTAGTATTTTTCTAGAAGGTACTAAGTAGTAATAGAACTTTTTATACAGGAAATGACTTAGTGTGCTATATTTTCAGACGTAGGTAGAAACACACACTTGAATGTAATGGGATAGTTCCATAGGACACACACACACAAATCTCCTGGCATTGTATAAAGAAAAATTCTCTGCTAACTACTTCATCGCCCATGGGAGGACCTTCTTAGTTTGACTCTCGGTGCTTTAGTCTCCTCATATGAAAAGATGGGAACCCAGAAGATGGGCTCTATGTAGCATTCACCAGGTTGGGCATGGTTAAGACAAGCATTTCTTCAACTGACAGAAAGACATGGTGGAATCACTTGGATTCCATGGAGTTTGATGATGGAGTAGAAACATCTCCTTCTTATATGTCTCATGTGATAGAATCTGGCTTCTTCTTTACACGCTCTTGAAAAATGTTAAAAGGCCTGGAAGCAGTTGCTCTCACAAAATGAGACCTTGTGCAGTCTACTGTACCTGTGAAGCAAACCCAGCCCCCAGCCTTTGGACTCTGCAGTTATACTCTCTTGGGGGAACTGATACAGTGTTCATGACCTGTTTTCCCTCTGGTCCTCCAAGACGCGCGTGTGTGTGTGTGTGTGTGTGTGTGTGTGTGTGTGTGTGTGTGTGTGTGGACACAAATTGGCCAAATGCCACTCAACAAGGAAAAGAGCTGATTGGTAGATAGACGATAGCGAGTCTAACCTCTAAATCAAGCCATCACACGTAGGAAAGAGCCGCACACAGATGCCGTCTCCCGCCGGAGGACTCTGCCACGTTGATTCTGATGGAAAGTGACTTGTCTTTTATGAAATGGTGACCATGCATCTTGCTGTCCACCAGGTTTCCAGATGCATTTGTGACCTTCAGTTCCTTCCGGAGCAGGTTTCCTGAAGTGTCTGGGTACTGTTACTGTGCTGACAGCCAGGGGCGGGAGCTGGCTGAGACAGGTAATCTGCAACACTTCTGGCAATGGGTAGGGAGGAATCAAGTGTAATTCTTGGACTCGGGCACTCAAGGCAGAAATAGCTTCTCACATCCTTTTTAGGTCGCTATGGGTGTGGAATAAGACACAGCCTTAGCCAACTTTCATCCGTGACACTCTGTTGAGGTTCTGCATGCTTGTATTGGTGCCACTACAGGCTGAAGGAGGTCCCCACCTTGCTGTGGGGCAAGTGGCAGACGGGGCAGGTTATCAGCCTCCTTCTCTAGGTAGCATTGCTCTGTGCTATCAAACACCTGCACAGGCACACACAGCAGTCCTGACTTTGTAAACCATTAGAATATTATTCCAAGTGTATCCAACCTATGGCCCCTGGGCTGCACCAGGCATCGTACGGTCAAGGATAACTACAGATGTGGCCCTATGAAAATCACAAACATACTTAAAATGCTGTGGCTGTTTTCACTATTATTATGTAACTCTGTTGCCGGGTTTTCAAGCATGAACTTTGTAGGTAATGACAGCTCTCAAAGTCTAAAGGATGGGCATACCTGAAGCCTCTATGTGATGCTGTTGGTGTAGACTCTAACCTTTTGATGGCTGTCAGCTTGGCCTGATCAGCGCTCTCTTTTCCGAGGAGCCCACCCCTGAAACGCTGTCTGTATGTGCTCAGGTTTGGAGTTGTTACTGGATGAAATTTACGACACCATTTTTGCTGGCCTGGACCGAGCTTCCACGTTCACTCAAAGCACCCTGTACCGGATATTGCAGAGACGCTTCCTGGCCATTCAGTTACTCATCTCTGGAAGATTCCGATGTAAGTCACTAGCTAGTAACAGCCGTGTGCGTCTGCTATGGAATCACTGGTTTCTTGGGGTCACGTGGCTGTTACGGGGAAGTAAGTTTAGAGATGTAACTCCAGGGCAGCAAGCACCCACGCAGGCTCAGACATTCCTCTCTCACGCCTCCTTTGCTGTGTGGTCGCTTCCAGGCCCCACCAAATGTGAAGTGGAACAATTTGCTGCCACCAGCTTTGGTCACCCACACGTCCCCAGATGCAGCAGAAATGGGGGCTTCCAAGCCATACAGTGCCAGACAGAAGGGCTGTGCTGGTGTGTGGATGCCCAGGGGACGGAGATCCCTGGCACTCGGCAGCAAGGGCAGTCGCCGTCTTGTGGTAAGTTTGCTCTCGGAGCCTGCTACCGTCACTGTTGTTGCTTCACGGCAGTCTCTCAGGAGAGCGCTAATCAACTGAAAGTCCCCTGAGGTCCTTCAAACTGTGTGTGACTGAAGACGGTCCACTGCTGTTAACTTGCTGCGGAGATTTTGTCCTGTATCAGACACGGTAACTCGTCATAGAACCTATGGCACACTAGGGGACCCCTAGCTCACAAAAAGGAAAAGAGAACTGAGTGATTGTGTGCTGTGGAAGGACGGGGGACAGTTGCTCGGAGTGTCCGTCACAAGGACACTTTCTGCACACCCAGTCTACAAGGAGGGTGAAGGCACGCTGTGGGAGCATGGGGTGCACTTTGTGACTTGGCGAAAGGCAGGAAGGAACAAGACGCTACAACTCCTGTCCTCACCAAGGCTTGGGCTTCACGCTGGAAGTGAGGCTGGCATGAGGCTCATCCTGGGGAGGCCTGCTGGGCTGTGTGTGTGTGTGTGTGTGTGTGTGTGTGTGTGTGTGAATCTATGCCTCCCAGAACTGTGAGCGAAGGGGTTAGAACACGGAGAAGGCCTGGTCATGAGGTGAGGCAACCAACTAGAAAGTCACCTCAATGTCCTCAGGAGAGAGAGCGGTGAGGCCATGACTTCTTAGGGCTTTTGTCACAAAGTAATGCAAACCGGGTCCCTCAGGACAGCCATAGCTCCCTGAGCAGCTGACAGGTCTGGAGGCCGGAAGTCCAAACTCCAGGTGGAAGCATTGTCCATTCTTCTGTGGTCTCCACCAGGAGCCTCTCTTGACCCCTGCCCCGGAAGAGGCTGGCATAATTTAGGTAAAAAGGAATGAGAGAGAGAGAGAGAGAGAGAGAGAGAGAGGAGGGATGGGAGGTGGGCAGGACCCTGTTAAAAGGGAACACAGTGAATGTGCACAGGTGGTGTTCTCAGTGGCTGCAGCTGAGGGCGTGTCCCGTCAGAACCCCGAGGGCAGGCCAGTGCAGAGGCCTGAGTGCTAGCAGAGGCCACCTTCATCTCAGCCAATGACTCCTGTGGCTCTGAGAAGGAAGATACATCATGGAGGGACATTCTTCTACCCCGCATGTGAAGGCAGAAGGAGGGCGGGTGCAACCCTCAGCACTGTCACAGGGCATGTCAGTAAGGCCCCAAGGGTGGGAAGTGTGGGGGAGGGGAGAAATCTGGTAGCACCAGGGTTTTCAACCAGGGGAGCTAGCTGCGGAAACAGTTAAGAACTCAAGTCTCATGGCTTCAAAGTAGATGGACATGAACGTTGATTCAGGGAGTCCCATTAATACAGAAATCAGATATCCTTTTGTTTTGTGTTTTGTTTCCTTTGTTTTTCCAAGAGAGGGTTTCTCTGTGTAGCCTCAACCGTCCTGGAACTCTCTTTGTAGACCAGGCTGACTTTGAACTCTCAGAGATCCAGGATGCCTGCCTCTGCCTCCCCAGGGCTGGGATTAAAGGCATGTGCCGCCACCGCCCGGTTAGATATCCTTCATATTGTTTGGTGAGGGTACAGATGTCCTAAAAGAGATGTCTGAAGCCTTGGAAGTGTTTGCTACCATCATCCAGGTACATGAAATCCTATGAAATATTGTGCCTGCAGCCTTCAGGTGAAAATGAAGAAGCATAGGTTCCCTAGTGCAAGCAGGAACTCTCTTGAATGCATGGGTGGGTTTTTAGCGCTTTCTCACTGTCTTTAGTAGCTGTGCTTAAATGTATGGAGGAGTTGATCTAAGTAGAGAAGAGGAAGTGAGGCCAGGCCCTCCCTTCCTCCACGCCTCCTGTGATGTCAATTACTGGACTCCATGGCCTTGCTGAGGGGACTCCTTGCTTATATAGGTTCCCGGCACACACAGAACACACACATGCACACACACACACACACACACACACACACACACACACACACACCTCCACATGAGCTACTTGTTCCAGTTCTTTCCCTGTTGCCTGGTTACAATGGGAAATTGGCTGCCTTCCTTTCTGGCATCTGTGTGAATCAAGAGGAAAGAATTCCTTTCGCAAGCTGAGAGACGGGTGGTGGTTCAGAAGGTCCCCTAAGACCCGCGGATTTATGGAGCAGGATGGAGCTGACTCATGTCCACCTGTGTGAGGAGATCCAGATGCTGTGTGAGCTCTGCTTCTCCTCCCACGGACACTTTTCCCAGACCGTCCTGGCCGTGCGCAGAGCTGGCTGAGTCTATCCGTGTCTCACCAGCAATGTCACAGAAAGACTGAGAAGTTCAAGCGGTGATGCACTAAGTGTGCTTGCTGGGTCAGCATGTCAGTATTGCAATACAGAAATCAGACAGTAATGGAATACGCTGTGCCTTCAGTATCACATATCACAATACAGCAAAGTATTTCTTCATGAAGCACTCCCGGCACTGCCGGTAGAGGTCTCAGGAGGAATTAGAGAGGCTCGGGGGAGCCTATGGCAATACGCTAGAGTCCGCTGAGAATTCCAGCAAGAGAAAACTGGGAAACAGCAGCTGAGCATCACAAACAGGGTTTTGTTAGCTAACGGGGCTCCTAACCCTGTCAGAACCAACAGCTACAGGAATGGGCACCTTAACAGCAGAAATGTGTTCTCTCACAGTTTCCACGCTGGAATCAGGAGTCAAGGTGTGAACAGGGCTATCCATACTCCCTTTGCATAGGATGGTTGGCGATTTCTGGTGCTCCCTAGCTTCACGGCTGGCTGCATCTGTCACTATAGTCTGTGTGCTGTGACCCTCACATGGCCCTTCCCTGTATCTCTTCTTGCTGGAATCTTACTGGATTCCTAGTTCACCCTAGTCTAGGTGATCCATTTTCAATTGAATTACAACTACCAAAACTTTGCTTTCAATTCACATTTGGGGACGCCATGTAGACAAAATATTTTCAGACCAGTGCAAGGGGGTCCAGGTTTTCAGAAAACGGGCTGGCGTCTCCTAGACTTGCTGTAGGAAAGCATCTGTCTGGAGAGAGGTGGCTGAGAGGTTTCGAGGAAAGAAATAGTCACCCTCAGAGGCCACTCAAGGGAGAAGGGAGGACATGAGTGGACAGAAAACAATGGTCCACTAGGCAGATAGCAACTTTTGGTATCTTACTACCAGAGGCATGGCGACATGGCGGAGGGAGGGTTCTTGCTCTCATACCTGTGTTTGTCATTGTTCCACAGCTGAAGGTCAGTCATGTGCCTCAGAAAGGCAGCAGGCCTTGTCCCTGCTCTACTTCGGAACCCCAGGCTACGTCAGCCAGCAGGACCTGTCGTCTTCTGAGGACAGGCAGGTCCCTGCGAGTGGAGCCAGACTGGCCGCCTCCTGCCCACCTACAATCAAGGAACTCTTTGTCGACTCTGGGCTTTTCCGCTCTGTGGCTGGGGAGCAGCACCAACAGCTTTGGGCGTCAGGAGGTCTCCTTGGAGAAGCCATCAGAGCCGTCTTCCCCTCGCGAGAGCTGGCTAGCCTTGCGCTTCGTTTCACCACCAACCCTAAGCGACTCCAGCAAAACCTCTTTGGAGGGGCATTTTTGGTAAACGCTGCCCGGTTTAACTTGTCGGGAGCCCTTGGTACAAGAGGCACCTTTAACTTCAGCCAGTTTTTCCAGCAGCTCGGTCTCCCAGGCTTCCAGGATGGAGGCAGAGCGAAGGATCTAACCAAACTAAGCCCAGTGGGAGTGGACTCTGCCCCGGGAACTTCCAGCGTCTCTGAGAAGACAGAGGCTACGAGTAAACCGGTTGAGGGGACCTTCGGCTTCAGAGTCAACTTCCAGGAGAACCAAGATGCCTTGAAATCCCTTGCTTCCCTCCTGGACCTTCCGGAGTTCCTGGTCTTCTTGCAGCGCGCTCTCTCTGTGCCTGAAGATGTAGCGGGGGACTTAGGGGATGTGGCGGAAATGGTGTTCCGTGCTCAGGCTTGCGGACAGACACCTGGAAGGCTCTTCGTCCCATCATGCACTGCTGCAGGCGGCTATGAGGACATCCAGTGCCATGCTGGAGAATGCTGGTGCGTGGATTCCCGGGGCAAAGAACTCGAGGGCTCCAGAGTCCGCGGTGGACGCCCAAGGTGCCCCACCAAGTGTGAGCAGCAAAGAGCTCAGAGGCAACGCCTCGCCGGCGGTCAGCCCGCTGGCTCCAGCTTCTTCGTCCCGTCATGCACCCGTGAAGGCTATTTCCTGCCTGTCCAGTGCTTCAACTCAGAATGCTACTGCGTGGATGCAGAAGGTCAGGCTATCCCTGGAACCCAAAGTACAATCGGCGAACCCAAGCAGTGTAAGTCCGTTGGGAATTTTATTTACAAATCCTCGAGTCGCCATTTAGACCAGAACCTAGTACAAAAGAGTAAGCTTCAGTCAATAGACCAATTACCTACTTTGGCTAAGCCGTATCCGTGGGGACCTGGACAATATTAGCCGTTCTAATTAGCTAATAGAGATATTTGCTTGTTGTTGAGAAAGTGCACATACATACCTGGGCTGGGAAGAGGACTCAACCCTAAAGTGCTTGCTGCACGAGCATGTGGGTCTCAGCTTGTATCCACCTAAAGCCGTGCTGAGCAATGTGCATTTGCAATTCCAGTGCTGTGGGCGTCTGGAGCTGGGACCCACTGGCCGTCCAGTCTATCTAAATTGGAAAGGTTCGGGGTTGGTGAGCGATCCCGGCTAGGAAAGTAAGATAGAGCAATTGAGGAACATCCAACCTCAGCCCCCGGCCTACACATGTTCACACATGGTCTTAAACACACACATGCACAAACACTTACCACACATACATTCCCGTGGTTCTGGTCAGATCGGTAACTGGATTAGTTACCAGGTTGAATGCCTTTCATGAATTTAGGACTATTAAGGTTTCTGCAACTGAGAGTTAAGCAGTCACTTGTTGCTGGAGTGTCTTTCCAGCCTGGTCCTACAGCCAATTCACCCCAAATAAGCACACAAAGACTTACATTCATTTATAAACTGTTAGCCAAAGGCTAGGGCTTCTTACTGGCTAGCTCTTTCTTAATTATTAAGCCATAACTACTAATCTGTGTGTTTCTGCATGGCCTTATCTCACCAGAGAACACCTGGCGCCCCCTCTTTCCAGTCTACATGGCGTCTCTCCCGGGTCTTCCCTTTCTCCCCTTGTTCCTTCCTCTCGTAGCCCCGCCTACACTTCCTGCCTGGCTGCTGGCCAATCAGTGCTTTACTCGTCAACCAATAAGAGGAACGTATGCACAGAAGGACGTCCCCCACCAGTCACCTCGATCCTCCTGAATTATCCAGTTTATAAACGTCTACCCATCATTCTTCTCCAGGTCCCAGCGTCTGCCAGTTACAAGCTGAGCAAGCTTTCCTGGAGGCAGTGCAGGCCCTGCTGTCCAACTTCAGCTCGCCGCCCTCCCCCTCCAGTGTCTACATCCCTCAGTGCAGCACCAGTGGGCAGTGGAGGCGCGTGCAGTGCGACGGACCCCCGGAGCAGGTCTTCGAGTGGTATGAACGGCGGGACGCTCAGAACAGCGATGGCCAGGAGCTGACCCCGACAGTGAGCCATAGAGAAGCAGCTTCTGGAAACTTCAGTCTCTTTCTTCAGCGTCTCTATGAGGCTGGCCTACAAAGCGTCTTCCCCGTGCTGGCGCAGTACCCTTCCCTTCAGGATGTCCCACAGGCAGTGCTGGAGGGAGCCCCGGCTCAGCCTGGGGAGAACGTTCTCCTCCACCCGTACATCTTCTGGCAGATCCTCAGTGGCCAGCTCAGACGCTACCCGGGGCCCTACACAGACTTTAGCACGCCTTTGGCACACCTCCACCTCAGGAGCTGCTGGTGTGTGGATGAGACCGGCCGGGAGCTGGATGGGACTCGGAACAAGCCAGGCGAGATCCCAACATGTGAGTCAACTCGTGCAGAGACCCCCGATTTCATATTCTCTTTGCAAAGGCTTTCTGGTGGGAGAGCCTCTGTAGGACCAGGGACGTTTCTGGGAGCCATAGCAACACTTCTGTTCCCATTCACCCTTCAGTCTGCCCATTGATCCACCCAAGCAGCCATCTACCCACCGTCCTGTGTCTGTCCACCCACGTGGTCCAGGTCAACGCTCCTAGGATGAGGCCCTCTAGCAGTTCTGAATCAACTGCTTAGTGAGGAACTTGCTCAGGATATATGACTTCTCCAGCCTCAGTTTCTCATCTATATTATGATGGGCAGGTTAATTGTCAATTTGGCGCCACCTGGAATTATGCGGGGAGAAAAATCTCAATTGAGGAAGTGCCTAGATCATATTAGTCCATGGATGTGTCTTTGGGGGTGTTGTCTTGATTGTTAATGGATGCAGTAGGGGCTAGCCCACTGTAGGCAAAGTAAGCTAATTAAAAAGCTAGCTAAGCATAAATTGCTCGCCAGACAGCGAGCAGAATCCTCCACGGCTCCCGTGGCTCTTCTCTGCCTGTGAGGGAAGTTCTCTGGCTGTGTGAAATACCAGGGCTGCCTTCATGTTCCTGTTGAGTTTCTGTTTCCAAGTCCCTCAGTGATGGGCTGTGGCCAGAATCGTCAGCCAAATAAATCATTTCGTCCCTATATTGTTCTCTGGTGAGGATATTTCAGCAACAGAAATGAAACCCGGACACATGGGAGGCAAGCATCTTCTTAGCCCGGTACCCAGATTAAATCAGACCCCTCGAATGTGCTTAGTGCCAGCCTGGCATGGTGTGAACATGGCGTGTCACCCATCTCCTGCCGGTCCCTCCGTGAATGCTGAGTGAACGAGGTCTACAAGACGAAGCCAGGGAGCTGGACTTGGTGACTGAATTCACCTGTGATATTTGTGTTGTTGCCCTAGGTCCTGGCCCCTGTGAGGGAGTGAAACTCCGTGCCCTGAAGTTCATCAAGGAAACGGAAGAGATCGTCTCGGCCTCCAATGGTTCTTCGTTTCCTCTGGGAGAGAGTTTTCTAGTGGCCAAGGGAATCCAGCTGAGCAGTGAGGACCTTGGCCTTCCTCCTCTCTACCCATCCCGGGAGGCTCTCAATGAGAAGTTTCTACGTGGGGGTGAACATGCCATTCGTTTGGCTGCCCAGTCCAGTGAGTGTCTTGTTGAAGGTTCTCACTCCATCTTGTAGTAAGAAGTTTTTTTTCCTTTTGGGGTGTCCTGCCACCCAGCTCCCAAATGAATCACACACAGAGGCTTATTCTTACTTATGAATGCTCAGCCTCATCCTGGTTTGTTTCTATCCAACTTTTCTTAACTTAATCTGTCTACCTTTTGCCTCTGGGCTTTCCCTATTCTCTTACCTCTGCAAATCTTCCTCTTACCCCGTGGATTGCCGGGTGGCTGGGTGCTTGGGTGGCTGACCCCCGACCTCCTCCCCTTGTTCTCCTGCTGTCCCCTTTCCTAGGTTCTCCTTCTGTCTTGTCCTCTCTGACCGCCAGCCCCGCCTATCCTGAATCCTGCCTTGCTATTGGTTATTCAGGTCTTCAGAAGGACCACCAGGTGTTTTAGACAGGCACAGTAACACAACTTCACAGAGTTAAACAGACGCAGCAAAAACAAAAGCCACACACCTTAAAATCATATTCTACCACACCATCTCTCTGGAGGAAGCAAGAGCTTGTGTCTGACTCGCCTGGACTTAACTTGGCCTGCCAGGTTCCTGGAAAGGTGGAGTGGTTCTGTGGCCATGATCCTGCAACAGAGCCCCCAGGGGCTTCCCATTGTGTACTCCAGATGGCACCCACAGCCCTCATAAAACCGTAGTCTTGATAGAAGGCTCTGTGGGCTCTCAACCCTCGACCTATCTTAAAGTTGCCTTTCACCTCCAAGGCTAAAGGGAGGGAGAAGGACATGGTCCTCCTTACTGAGGGTCCATTGTTCATGTGAGCTCAGGGAATCGTGAGAGCAGGTCCCAGAGGTTTGTGTCACCTCTGAACGTGGCAGAGGAACACAGTCCTCTGGCCTGGCAACAGCCACACAGTGTTTAAATCTAGCCCACGCCCAGGTGTTCAAATGACAAGTACATTGTGTTAATTCGGTTAGTATTTCAGAAGAATAACGATGTAATACTTCCCGAGTCTTTACACAGGGAAGTTGAGTCCTGGTTTACACACTTGTCTGGGTTCACCCATCTGGTGACTACGTAAGCTGGGCCAGGAAGCCTAGTAGTCTAACCCGTATTGCCAGTGAACTGTGCCCTGCCCAGCTGAACACGGAGTAGCCCAAGTCAGAGTGGAGACCAGGCTCAACTGAGAGCCAGTGTCCTTTGTCTGCCGACAGCCTGGTCTGGCGAGAGGCTCTGACCCCACTGAGTTTTCACTGACCCCACGTCAACAGAACCTGAGCGCTCTCTCTCTCTCTCTCTCTCTCTCTCTGTGTGTCTCTGTCTCTCTGTGTCTCTGTCTCTGTCTGTCTGTCTCTGTCTCTGTCTCTGTCTCTGTCTCTGTCTCTCTGTCTCTGTCTCTGTCTCTGTCTCTGTCTCTGTCTCTGTCTCTGTCTCTCTCTCTCTCTGTCTCTGTCTCTCTCTCTCTCTCTCTTTGTCTCTCTCTCTGAGCCATGTCTGCTGGCTTGGGTGTGGTGTCTCTGTTCTATCCTCAGAGCAGGACCTGGCAGGCTAGCCCGTTTGCTCCCCACCCCTCCCGACCAGACACCCGCTCAGCATGCCTTCCTCACGTCCTCCGCACCCGTGGCCTGCTCGTCGCACACCTGGCTGCTCTGTTTCCCTCTGTCCAGCATCCACCTTTCTCACTTCCTCGGAAACCCAGGGCCTTCTGCTTTCAACAGGAAGGCAGCTGTCTCAAATCCCGGGCCTGTATGGAGCCTGGGGATGCAGGACCCAGGACAAGGGACGAGTGAGGACCACAAAGCACCCGTGGGTAACGGAACACGGAGGCAGTGTCTAGAGCCTGAGGAGGCACGGGTGTGGTAACGGAACACGGAGGCAGTGTCTAGAGCCTGAGGAGGCACCGGTGTGGTAACGGAACACGGAGGCAGTGTCTAGAGCCTGAGGAGGCACCGGTGTGGTAACGGAACACGGAGGCAGTGTCTAGAGCCTGAGGAGGCACGGGTGTGGTAACGGAACACGGAGGCAGTGTCTAGAGCCTGAGGAGGCACCGGTGTGGTAACGGAACACGGAGGCAGTGTCTAGAGCCTGAGGAGGCACCCGTGGGTAACGGAACACGGAGGCAGTGTCTAGAGCCTGAGGAGGCACCGGTGTGGTAACGGAACACGGAGGCAGTGTCTAGAGCCTGAGGAGGCACCGGTGTGGTAACGGAACACGGAGGCAGTGTCTAGAGCCTGAGGAGGCACGGGTGTGGTAACGGAACACGGAGGCAGTGTCTAGAGCCTGAGGAGGCACCCGTGGGTAACGGAACACGGAGGCAGTGTCTAGAGCCTGAGGAGGCACCGGTGTGGTAACGGAACACGGAGGCAGTGTCTAGAGCCTGAGGAGGCACCCGTGGGTAACGGAACACGGAGGCAGTGTCTAGAGCCTGAGGAGGCACCGGTGTGGTAACGGAACACGGAGGCAGTGTCTAGAGCCTGAGGAGGCACCGGTGTGGTAACGGAACACGGAGGCAGTGTCTAGAGCCTGAGGAGGCACCGGTGTGGTAACGGAACACGGAGGCAGTGTCTAGAGCCTGAGGAGGCACCGGTGTGGTAACGGAACACGGAGGCAGTGTCTAGAGCCTGAGGAGGCACCGGTGTGGTAACGGAACACGGAGGCAGTGTCTAGAGCCTGAGGAGGCACCGGTGGGTAACGGAACACGGAGGCAGTGTCTAGAGCCTGAGGAGGCACGGGTGTGGTAACGGAACACGGAGGCAGTGTCTAGAGCCTGAGGAGGCACGGGTGTGGTAACGGAACACGGAGGCAGTGTCTAGAGCCTGAGGAGGCACGGGTGTGGTAACGGAACACGGAGGCAGTGTCTAGAGCCTGAGGAGGAGGCACACGGAGTGTGGTAACTGGAACACGGAGGCAGTGTCTAGAGCCTGAGGAGGCACCGGTGTGGTAACGGAACACGGAGGCAGTGTCTAGAGCCTGAGGAGGCACGGGTGTGGTAACGGAACACGGAGGCAGTGTCTAGAGCCTGAGGAGGCACGGGTGTGGTAACGGAACACGGAGGCAGTGTCTACAGCCTGAGGAGGCACCGGTGTGGTAACGGAACACGGAGGCAGTGTCTAGAGCCTGAGGAGGCACCGGTGTGGTAACGGAACACGGAGGCAGTGTCTAGAGCCTGAGGAGGCACCCGTGGGTAACGGAACACGGAGGCAGTGTCTAGAGCCTGAGGAGGCACGGGTGTGGTAACGGAACACGGAGGCAGTGTCTAGAGCCTGAGGAGGCACCGTGTGGTAACGGAACACGGAGGCAGTGTCTAGAGCCTGAGGAGGCACGGGTGTGGTAACGGAACACGGAGGCAGTGTCTAGAGCCTGAGGAGGCACCGGTGTGGTAACGGAACACGGAGGCAGTGTCTACAGCCTGAGGAGGCACCGGTGTGGTAACGGAACACGGAGGCAGTGTCTAGAGCCTGAGGAGGCACCCGTGGGTAACGGAACACGGAGGCAGTGTCTACAGCCTGAGGAGGCACCGGTGTGGTAACGGAACACGGAGGCAGTGTCTAGAGCCTGAGGAGGCACGGGTGTGGTAACGGAACACGGAGGCAGTGTCTACAGCCTGAGGAGGCACGGGTGTGGTAACGGAACACGGAGGCAGTGTCTAGAGCCTGAGGAGGCACCGGTGTGGTAACGGAACACGGAGGCAGTGTCTAGAGCCTGAGGAGGCACCCGTGGGTAACGGAACACGGAGGCAGTGTCTAGAGCCTGAGGAGGCACGGGTGTGGTAACGGAACACGGAGGCAGTGTCTAGAGCCTGAGGAGGCACCGGTGTGGTAACGGAACACGGAGGCAGTGTCTAGAGCCTGAGGAGGCACCGGTGTGGTAACGGAACACGGAGGCAGTGTCTAGAGCCTGAGGAGGCACCGGTGTGGTAACGGAACACGGAGGCAGTGTCTAGAGCCTGAGGAGGCACCGGTGTGGTAACGGAACACGGAGGCAGTGTCTAGAGCCTGAGGAGGCACCGGTGTGGTAACGGAACACGGAGGCAGTGTCTAGAGCCTGAGGAGGCACGGGTGTGGTAACGGAACACGGAGGCAGTGTCTAGAGCCTGAGGAGGCACCGGTGTGGTAACGGAACACGGAGGCAGTGTCTAGAGCCTGAGGAGGCACCGGTGTGGTAACGGAACACGGAGGCAGTGTCTAGAGCCTGAGGAGGCACCGGTGTGGTAACGGAACACGGAGGCAGTGTCTAGAGCCTGAGGAGGCACCGGTGTGGTAACGGAACACGGAGGCAGTGTCTAGAGCCTGAGGAGGCACCGGTGTGGTAACGGAACACGGAGGCAGTGTCTAGAGCCTGAGGAGGCACCGGTGTGGTAACGGAACACGGAGGCAGTGTCTAGAGCCTGAGGAGGCACCGGTGTGGTAACGGAACACGGAGGCAGTGTCTAGAGCCTGAGGAGGCACGGGTGTGGTAACGGAACACGGAGGCAGTGTCTAGAGCCTGAGGAGGCACGGGTGTGGTAACGGAACACGGAGGCAGTGTCTACAGCCTGAGGAGGCACGGGTGTGGTAACGGAACACGGAGGCAGTGTCTAGAGCCTGAGGAGGCACCGGTGTGGGTGTCAGCTCATTGCATGTCACCTACCAGCTCTTTTAATACGACGTCACACTTACCCCGGCCAGTACTGAGCTCACGTCACTGGTTAGCAAATGCAGGATCAGAGAGGTAGAGTCACTTGCCCTTATCACACAGCCGAGAGGTATGATACCGGGATATGTAGAAACTTACCAAATTTGAGAGCACCATACACAGCAAGTGTAGACCTTGGTGTCTAGAGGAAGGGAGGGAGGGAGGGAGGGAGAGAGAGACAGACAGACAGACAGACAGACAGACAGACAGACAGACAGAGACAGAGACAGAGACTGAGAGAGCTCGTGTGTGTGTGTGTGTGTGTGTGTGTGTGTGTGTGTGTGTGTGAGCTGGCAGCCCAATGGAAAATTTTACGGCATCCATGACTCTTCTCTAGAGTACAGTGCACCCCGTGGGCATGAAGCCCCCCACCAGCCTAATCGACCATCTGTGAGTTTTCACACAGGGTTACAGAGAGCCCTCCCAATGCAGTGTAGCGCTTACTTCCACAGGGCGGTCAGCATAGTGACTACTGTCTGTCCAGGAGTCTAAGGGAAATTTCAGGTTGAAGCGTTTCCCAGGTTGTAAGACTGTCATATTCGCCTGCGAGGGCGTGGTCAGAGGTGTGCTTGGTTTATCTCAGGACAGAGCAGCCCGCGGGCAGCTGTCACATTCTTTGTGTTCTTTCTGCGGCCCCAGCGTTGGAATTCTATCAGAGACTCCGTGCTTCCCAGGGAACGTCCGATGGAGCTGCGGGTCTGCTGTGGCCAGAACCCTATGTGCCACAGTGTGATGTTCTTGGCGGCTGGGAGCCCATGCAGTGCCACGGCGGGACTGGTAAGGAGACTTGGAGAGGGCGAGCGGATATTTAGAGGAAAGAGCCACACAGTGAGAGGCCAGTGATCCAGATGCTACCTCCTCTTCAGCACCTAGGACAAAGTTAGTCTCTCTACTGCCAGCTGAATACCCACCCTGTTTAAGGGCAGCAGGGACTGGGACCTCCAGGCAGCGTGGAGATGCTCATTTTCCAGAGGTCTTTTGATTGTGGGCAGTGTCGGGCGGGCCTGGGGAGCCTGCATTGCTGGAGTTGTCCCTATGAATGCAAAAGGGAGAAGTTACTCACAGGACACTTGGGACAGTTCCCAGCATGCTTCCCGGCGCTGATGGGCTATGGCTTTTTCCCCAGGACAGTGCTGGTGTGTGGATGGGCGGGGAGAATTCATCTCAGCCTCACTGACTACAAGCTCTACCCAGATGCCCCAGTGTAAGTAAAGCTCGTGAGATTCTTCAGTCTGGTCTCTGGAATGGCCTCTGTGCTGTTGGAGCCAGCCTGGTCATGCAACTGAGTGGGACTCTATGGTCTAGCCCTCTGAGAGTGCCCCGGACACATTGTTTTCTCTGTGTCCCCAGATCTGGGGCTCCTGTTGACTTTGGGACATCCTTGTTGGTGCTGTCACTGGGCATGTACCAGGAGGAGCCAAGACTGGCGACAGAGCTTGGCTTCGATCCCTGTGCTCTGGCCCCTGGGAAGCTACAACTACTGTAGCTGTGTTAGTACCTCATATGTATTTCTGAGCCCAGCCTCCTATTGAGGATCACCCCTGGGCCACCAATGGCCCCCTTGACCCTTCACAGCCCCGTTATGCCCCACATGTGTCTCTCTCTCCTGAACTTGAGCCCGGCTCTCCTGAGGCTCTAGCTCTGTGGAGCATACATCTGCTGGTCTGCAGTCTGGGGCTGGCTGGGGCTGCCCGCCTCCCCTTGGCTCAACAGACATTTGTTCTCCGCCCCTCTCTCCCACAGGCCCCACAAGCTGCGAGCTCTCCCGAGCCAACGGGCTGCTCTCTGCGTGGAAGCAGGCGGGACCCCAAAGCAACCCAGGTCCCGGAGATCTGTTCACCCCCACCTGCCTACAGGTGAGCTTCTGCAGGAATGGTACACAGAGGGGAGGCATCACTGATACTGGCCTCCTCTGGTGGAAGGTGTGTCTTGTAGATTCTAGGTCATTCCCCTTAGTATAAAACTCACAGGGAGTCATGGGTGTCCTGGTCCTTCTAGACATGGCTGTGTGCCCTTGTGTGGGTTGCTTACCTTCTCTGTGCCCAACTGTGTTTTCTTTTCATAATAGGCCTGGGCCATACTCTTGTCTTAACCTAGTTCTTGGATTATCTTGTGACTCCAAGAACAAAATCCTTCGCCAAAAGCCTTTACAGACTGATTATGTACATATATTATATAATACTATACAATAACATACAATAATGCATAATATATTAAATATTATATATATGCTATCGTATGTTTGGGTCAATTGCTTGATCTTCTGGTTCCAACTTTAGAGGAAGACATTAACCCTCGTCACTCCTGTACCTCACAGTTCCTTGAAACACTACCATAAAAACCTCCAGGGAAAGAATTCATGTTAAGGATCTAACCACTGAGCTACCACGTGACACACTCCCCAATGCCTGTCCCTGTCCCTACAAAAAGGTGGGTGACCTCACCACCCACCCTGCTTCACTGCCAGGAGCTATATGAAAATCATATGAAATTGAGAGTATACGACGTTCATGGAACATGTAGTGCTGGCCAGTGTCCTGGATAACACATGTAGCCTAAGGCTTTTATGTGTACTGCCTGGTCCCACAGCCACTCATAAAATAATCACTCAGAGGCTTAATATTAATTATAATTGCTTGGATGATGGCTCATTCTTATTATTGGCTAGCAATTATAATTAAATTACCCAACTTCTATTAATCAGTATTTTGCCACGTGGGGACCAGTGATGTTCGGACATCCTTATCCCTTGGTAGCTGGATGGCATCTCTTTGACTCCACCTGCTTACTCCCTGTATCCCTGCTAGGATTTCCACCTAGCTACATCCTGCCCCTGCCATAGACAAAAGCAGCTTTATCCATCAACCAAAAGTAGCAACACATACTTTCACTGAACAGAAGGACATCATTATGGGATTCCCGGAACATGGTCCTCTTATTAATTTGTAGAGAAAGTTGCCAGTGAGGCTTAGTCTTTTACCTTGCCTGACAAATTCTCCTGGGGAGACAAGTCTGCCCCATGTCCCCAGCACGGCTGTTCTCCTGAGAAAGGAAGCGTGGGAACCGCAGCTTCTGAAGTCCGGAAGGGTGATTCCGACGAGTGACCTGATGGTCCACAGTTTGTGAGGGTTTTGCCCGCCATGACACTGGTGAACTAGAGCTAAGAACGTCACTACCCAAACTACTACCTGCATTTCTGGCATCCCTTCACTTCCCGGGACCGGTAGCTAACTGACAGACTCTATTTGGATCTCAGTGACTTGAGACCGGTATTCAGAGTTTTAACCTTCTCCCACAAGCTCCCCTCAGAACTTCGCTCGAGTTTGAATCCTACCTGGTGGTTGATCAGATGGCCAGAGGCATGCCCTGTGACCTCTCTGTCTCTGTAGAATGACAGGGCAGCAGAGCCCTGCCTTTCTGAGTGGTTGTGGGTTCTGTGTCTCACCTGGGATGAAGGTGTTTGAGAGCCTCCTGGAGACGTTGGGTAAATGGGGGAGGGTGACTTTTACCTGCAGACCAGCCGTGGTGTAATGTAAAGCCAGCGAGTGGCAGCCCACAGCACACTTGGTGCTGGGTGCTCTTTGCCAGTTTCTGTCTCTGTGCCCAGAGCTTTGAGCTGCAGAAGGAGGTTGAGGGCTTTTCTGCTGAGGGAGTTGCTGGCGTCGAAGAGTTCTAGGATCAGGCCTGGGGAGATGGACTTAGTTTGTAAAGTGCATGTCTGACATGCACACAGACCCAAATCCCCAGAACCCATGTAGCAAAAGCTGAACATCATCGTGCCTTACCTGTAATCCCAGTACTGAGGCGGCAGAGATAGGCAGACACCCAGGGATCCTGGCTAGCTAGCCTAGCTTACACGGTGAGGTCCAGACCAATGAGAAATCCTGCCTGAAAATATTAGGTGCCTGGCTCCGGAGGAACAACAGTCAAGGCTGTCCTTGGACCTCCATGCGTATACAGATACATGCATGTATATCTACACACTCACACACACACACTCACACACACACACTCACACACACACTCACACACACACTCACACACACACTCACACACATACTCACACACGCACACACAGTCAAGGCTGTCCTTTGACCTCCAGGCGTATACAGATACATGCATGTATATCTACACACATACACACACACACTCACACACACACACACTCATACACACTCTCTCTCACATACACACACACACAGCCAAGGCTGTCCTTTGACCTCCATGCATATACAGATACAGGCATGTATATCTACACACTCACACACACACACTCACACACACACATACACACTCACACACTCACACACACACAGTCAAGGCTGTCCTTTGACCTCCATGCGTATACAGATACAGGCATGTATATCTACACACTCACACACACACTCTCTCACACACACACAGCCAAGGCTGTCCTTTGACCTCCATGCATGGACAGATACATGCATGTATATCTACACACACACACACTCACACACACACACGCACACACTCACACACACACTCACACACACACACACACACACACACACACACACACACACACACGGAGAGAAGGGGGGTGGAGCTCAATCTAGGCTAGCTTCCTGCTGGCTGTTTAGGTGAGGAAACTGAAGCCTGAGGCCTAGATGGTTGAAGTGTGAGGTCAGGGAAGCCCGCTGGCCCAGGACAGACCAGGAAAGTAGAGCCCACATTGATAGATCATGTCTGGAGTCCCCAGAATGAGGGAGGGCTGATGGGATCACTGTCTTGGACCATACCTGCATTACTAATTACAGACATTTAGGGCTTCATGGAGTTCCAGATTAAAAGTCATTTCTAGAATGTGTTTGGACCACGTGGAGCTAGTGTGTGGCCTGTGCAGCCCTGCTACTCTCTAGCTCCAAGACACTGTTCCGTTGCCTCACATCTCATAAGACGCGAGTCAGAAGCCACAGCTTGCCCTTGGCTGGTGTCAACAATGCAGAGCATGGCTATGACGTCTGAAAGGGACAGCGACCCCTTTATGGAAAACCCTCCTTGTCTGGGGAAGCTGTCACCAGTTGTTTAGGAAGGGACATTCCTGCAAGCCCTTCTCTCACCAACAAGTGAACTGTGCATCCTTGCACATACTGAAATAACCATGGCTTTATCACAGACAGGACAGTACGCCAGGCAGCAGTCATCACAGACAGGAACTTGGTGTGTGGACCCAGCCTCAGGAGAACGGATGCCACCAAGCACAAACAGCAGTGCTCAGTGTGGGTGATCGTCTCTTCCCCTTGTCCTAAAGCCACCGTGGTGAGCATGGATGCAAAGTCCCAGCTCTGCCACCTCCACAGCTGGGGCACAGCTGTGTCCTGATCCGAACGTGCCTCTGCGTGCTCGTCTATGAAACAGGCGCTCTTCCTGTCTTGAAAGACGTCAGGAAAGCCAGTGTGGCCAGAAGCTGGCTGTGCTCTGTGAGCACTGTCTGGTATCTGTCCCAGCCTACAGGGGACACTGGCGTTTTGTTTTCGGGACCACTGGCCATGCAGCCCTGAGGCATGCATGCTCTGCCTGGCCCTACAGCCCTGTGCCATGTACTCGTGTTCCTAAGGCCAACCCTGGGCTCTGCGGCATGGCACAGGGTTCCCACATTAGACTCCTGAGAGGCCTCTTACATTCCTCTCTTTGTCATTCTTGTGCTTGAGATCTTGTCACAAACTGTGGTTCCCACTTAAAGAGAGGGCATACTCTCTCTCTGACTTTTGTTCAGTGTGACTCAGCTGCGTAGAAGGTTTCTATCCCTCCCTCTCCTCTCCACCTGGTTCCCACAGACCCCTGCACAGCTCCATATTGTATACTTGTCACCCTTCTCTTCTGTTGCTTGTCTTTGAGAGCTCCTGTGAGGTTCTGAGGCCCTCCAGGACACTCAGTGGGAGAGACAGAGCACAGACCCCCTAGGACCTTACAAGCAGCTGGTCTAGTGTGACAGGCGGAACAGGAAGGGACAGGGGAAAGGTCAGAGCAAGTGTCAGAGAGTGTTCCCCGTCACTTGTCTTTGTACAGGCCCAGGCCTCTGTGATGTTCTCAGGAGTGGAACCCTGACCCAGAAAGCCAGCCCTGGCTATACCCCAATCTGTGAGGCCCAGGGCGGAGGCTTCTCCCCAGTGCAGTGTGACTTGGCCCAGGGCAGCTGCTGGTGTGTCCTGAACAATGGAGAGGAAGTGCCTGGGACCCGCGTGGTAGGCACCCAGCCTGCCTGTGACAGTGAGTCTCTAATGACCATGCCTTTACATCTCTAAGCGTATGGGAGCCCTTCTTACTCAAACCACCACAGCTACACACACACACACACACACACACACACACACACACATGCACGTACGCACACATACACTTACATGCGCATGCACAAGCATGCATGCGCACACACACACACATACACAGGCACGTGCATATGCATGCACACACACATACAAAGACACTTGCACACGCATGCATAAGCACGCACGTGCACACACATGCATGCGCACATGCACGCGTGCGTGCATGCGCGCACACACACATACACTCACGCATGCATGCATGCACGCACGTGCTCATACGCACACAGACACAGGCACGTGCATATGCACACATGCGTGCACACACACACATACACACACATATAAAGACACTTGCACACGCATGCATAAGCACGCATGTGCACACATGCACGCGCACATGCACGCACGCACACACACATACACAGGCATGTGCATATGCATGCATGCATACACGCACACACACACACACGAGATACGCAGATTTGTCGTGAGAGAAGACAGACACAATCAGGAGCTGGCACCCAAGTCTGTCACCAGTGTGTGATCTTGGGAAACCAGTTGGTGCCTTACAGCCTCCCATTTCCTTGACTCTGCAGCAATGACAGCGTCTAGTAGATGTGGTTTTGGAAGGATCCCAGAGCCAGGATGTTGAAGAGAAGAGGAGGCCACCCTGTCCTTTCCCCTCTTCCTGGTGTGGTCTTCCCAGGCCGCAGAGCCCTGTGAGATGTCCCATAGCGTAAGGGTGGGAGGCAGAGGCAGCAGCACACAGAAGAGTCTAGAGCCGGTGTGGGCAGTGGAGATGGGGGGCATGAGGAAGGAGGACGGCACTGAAGACCTCTCGCGGAGGACTGCTGTCCCCCAAGGAACAGGTGCAGACGGGGAGGACTTAAGAAGGGCAGGGCCCAGCCTCACTGGCACTGTGCACGCTCCTGGCTTGGAACAGCCAGGGCTGCAAGGGCCACGCCTTGAGCTCAGAGCGGCAAAAGTGGGAAACGTGGAGCACAGGAGCTGGGCTGTGCGCCCCGAGGTCAAGAGGGTGGGGTGGTGACTCACTGGATTTGTAAGGGAGCTAGAAATGCTACAAGACTCACCTTTGTTTTGCTCTCTGGCAAAACTGACAGACGGTAGTCTTATCCAGAGAGGACATAGAAGTTAGGGGAAGGGGAAGGCCCTGGCAGAGCAGGGCGCAACCAGGGAGGGCCTGAGTTGCGATCGAGGGAATCAGAAAGGGAGGCAGGAGCCAGGCTGCAGCCTGGGAGGTGCCCATGGCCGTCTTCTGCTTGCCCCCAGGCCCACGGTGTCCACTGCCGTTCTCTGAGTCAGACGTGGCTCATGGAGGGGTCTTCTGCGAGACGGCCGCTGGCCCGGGAGTGACCGCCGTTCAGCAGTGCCAGCTGCTCTGCCGAGAGGGCCGTCAGAGTGCATTCCCACCAGGGCCACTGATTTGTAGCCTGGAGAGCCGGCGCTGGGTGTCACCGCCCCCACCACCTGGAGCCTGCCAGCGTGAGTAGCAATGGGGACATTTGGCTTGCACGCCGTTCCCTCTTAGGGCTGTTTCTGAGGAGACCCTCTCCCACTCAAATGCAGGCCTTTTAATGGTAAGTCAGGCGCCACCAGGGCTGGAGAGCTGGCCCCATGGAGCACTGCTTCTAGAAGGAGCCATGGGAGCAGATATGTCCACAGCAGCCGGAGTAAGGTTTTATTGGTGGCTTTCAGGAGCCAAATGTTCTATGGGAGAATTAACATTATTCTAGGTTGCCCATGGTTACTTGAATTGGAAACAGATATTCAGTGTAGATGCTCTGGCTGCTGAATCAGGGACCGTATGTGATGTACTCTGAGCTCCCTCTTCATCCCATGGTGAGCCCTAACCTCTGCCCATATCCATCTTGACCTCTGTGGTGAATTCCTGGAAGGCTAGGGGTCCAAGACCTGTGCCAAGTGGGCATCAGTGCCTGGGGGTAAATGCAGACCTCTTCCTGCTGCCTCAGAGAACCTGCTCAATGCAGGCAAAGACAAACCCACCTACACACACAGTGTGGCAGCATGGGTTTCTGTCCAAGCCTGACTTGACAGGGCCAGAGTGTGAGCAGCCCCAGCAGACCAGTTTGAACTGGAATGTTACACTTGACCTGCCTGGGGCAGGGGTAGGAGAAGCATCTGGAAGTGGGTACCGGTATCCCGAGACAGCCCTCCATCACAAGGCTCTAGCTGACTGTCCGAGTGTCCAGGGTAGGATTAGCCACAAAGCACTGTGGGTTGTAGAGGGTACTCATCTGGAAAAAACTTGGACAAATAAGTGACCTGTCTCCTTGATTATGACAGGGTGGCCCCAGTTGAAATCAAGACCGAGTCAATCGTCATTGAACACTGAACAGCATTAGGGAACATCTGCCTCTAGCCTGCAGAATCTTGTGGCATGGTGGTGTTCGTTGGCAGAGCAGTATGGGAGATTTTTTTCCAGGGAGGATATCAGAATCTCGATGAAGCACCCCGATTCAGAGGCTGAATCAGCTCAGTGCTTGCTGTGTGGAGTCTAGGCAATTCAGAGCTATGCCAGTGTGCCAGACAGTGTGGGGTACCTCAGGGCATCCGCGCAGATGGGCAGTGCTTGTGTGCATACACTGAATGAGGGGGGGCTCTTTGTACAAAGGAAATTCCTGTCGTCTCAGCCCCCGGCCTCCTCCTCGTGCAGGGCCTCAGCTGTGGCAGACCATGCGAACGCAAGCACACTTCCAGCTCCTGCTCCCACCAGGCAAGATGTGCAGTGCCGACTACTCCGGCCTGCTGCAGGCCTTCCAGGTCTTCGTGCTGGATGAGCTGACAAGCCGTGGCTTCTGCCAGATCCGGGTATGTGGCAGCTTTCCCCACAGGGAGGGCTTGAACTCAGCACCGCTCTCAGGGAGCCTCACGTGGGGAAGAGGGTTTTCAGTACCCAACTCCCCGGGGAGGAGGTTGGTAGAAGACTACAGGAAGTGACATAAACTCCTACGGACTCCTGACACATGCTTGCTGTAGGCAGCCTCTTCTGTGTCCCTAAACCGAGGTGTCCCTCTCCATGCAGGTGAAGGCATTTGGGACTCCGGTTTCCAGCACTGTCTGTGACAACTCCTCGGTTCAGGTGGGATGTCTGACGGCAGAGCGTTTAGGAGTTAATGTCACGTGGAAATTACAGATCCAGGACATCTCAGTGACCTCACTTCCAGATTTGCCGAGCATCGGTATGTCCATCTGCACGGCTGCCTTGAAGAAGCCGGGCAGCCTCCTGGAGCCTCAGAGTCCTCCCTGCTATGAAGCGGGAGTTGGCAGAGTCCCTTCCTATGACAACACAGGAGGATTGTGTCTAGCTCTTGGGAAGAGGTAGTTGTGTGTCAAAAAGCATGTAAAAGTTTGATCCCCTGGAACAGGCAGGTGTGAGCCATCCAATACGAATGCCGGGATTTGAACTCCAGTCCCCTGCAAGAGCAGCAAGTGCTCCCAAGCTGCTGAGCCACCTCACCTGGCAGCAAACTTGACAGATTACTAGATAATTACTAGATAATACTTAGCATATAATAGGTTGATTACTAGAAAAGCAGGAGACATGAAATTAAGGAAGTGGGTAGGGGTGTAGAGTTGATTTGGGAAAAGTTAGGGGAAGGAGTTGGGGGTGATATCAAATTATATTGTATGAAAGTCTCCGAGAGTTAATAACAAATAATATATATATATATACATACATACACATATATGTATACACACACACACTTATGTATATAAAAGCCAGTAAAGTTCTTGTCAGCACTGATAGATAGCATCATAAACAATAGAGAGGCTAGAGACTTCAATGTAGAGGTGAGGAACAGCGTGAAGGGAGATTGGGTGGAGAGAGGGCATCTTCACTGGCTTACAATTTATATACCAACTTCCACTGAGAAAACACCTCATCCCATTGCCCCTGCCTTAAACTTGATGGTTACTCTAGGGATGAATAGAGAAACCACAAAATCCTAAGAAGAAAGGGTAGGGTGAAGTGTGTGAGAGCTACCATGAATGTGTGCCCTGTGTTCTCTGGGCTTGCTAGTAGGGTAGGGACTGACCCACACATTTCTAAGTAGAGTCTCAGGGAGCAACTCCTGTCTCTCCTCTGTCGTTCAGGAGCCCAAAATCCAGTTACCCAGAGTACCTTGAACCTGACCTCTGTTCTAGGAGCAGAAATATCAAAACAAAAACAAAAACAAAACCATAGAATCCAGTAAGCAGGCTACAAGTCTGTCATTTTCTTGAACTCCTGGTGTCACCTTGGCAATAATCTACCTAGCATTATGGATTGGGTTTTTCATTATCCTTCCTCTAAGAAAGCCTGGATAGTTTGGAAGTATTTGATATCGTAAAAGCATGAGATGTTTGTCCCCAGCTTCAACATGAGGATGATGTGTGTAACGTGCATTCTTCCCCCCCAGCTGCCTGGGTCCCGTTGCTGCTTTAGCCCCCAAATAACACACAAGACACTATATTAATTATGAAGCTGTTGGCCATTTGCTATGATTTCTAATCAGCTAGCTCTGGCTTAATTATTAGCCCATAATTGCTAATATATATTTTTATAAGGTCTTATCTTACTGAGGACACAGCCTCATATGTCCTCTCCCCACGATCACAGGGTGACGACTCTCTTCACTACATTTCCCAGAATCCTCCTAGACTCCTAGTCCCACCTATCTTGCTTCCCTATTGGCCAACAGTGCTTTATTCAGCAACATATACACAGAAAGACTCCCCCCATCTCAGTGACAGGTTGCAGTATAGATGTTTTCTACACACGGAGGTCTACCCCAGCCCTTTACACGGAACTCCTCCACTTTCTACTTGGGAAGTCACAGCCTTCTCTAAACTTCACAGAGCAGAAAAAGCCACATTTCCAACAGAAGGCCACACCTTTCATGTGGGCGGCTCTCACACATGCGATACCCCCTGGGAACTTCCCCACCTGTAAATGGAGCATCCCTAGGCTCATCAGCCGATATGAACACCGGGGCTTGGAGGAGATGGGAGAGCATCTGAAGAGTACACCTCAGATCATGGTAAAGCAGGGCCTGTACCAATATGGGTCACATCGGTGCCAAAGAACCCAAGACTTAGATTAGAGTTTGACTTGTGTGTGCATTGTGAGTGTGTGACTTTGGGTCAGCCAACTCACCTTCTCTGAGCCTGGCCTGTCATGTTGTCTAATGAGGGAATGCATGATGCCCATGTGTTCTTTCTGCCAGGGGGTTCTAGGCAGCCCCACCCCTACTATCCTTACTGGCCCTGAGGGGAACAGTGAAGTAACCTCTGTTATCACAGAAATATTAAGCTACACAAAATAGGGATGCTCTATGATATTTTATTGAAGGAGAAATCACTGATGTGAGAAGCCAAGTAAGCCCAGAACCAAAGGTTCACGTGCTGCTCTCCGGGATGCATCCAGAACCCAAAGAGAAAGTGTCTCCTTCCCCCAGCTCTTTCATTACCCATCTGTTCTAGGTACCCATGACCATGCCTAAACAGGCTTGGTCAGCATCATGGTTACGTAAGATCTCTCCCTACACCCTGCCTCATCTGTGTCTTTCAGAAAGGGCTTTAGTGGGCCAGGATCTCCTTGGGCGCTTTGCAGATCTGATCCAAAGTGGCAAGTTTCAGCTTCATTTGGACTCCAAGACATTCCCAGCAGACACATCCTTGTACTTCCTCCATGGGGACAGCTTTGTCACCTCTCCCAGGACTCAGCTTGGGTGCTTGGAAGGATTCTACAGAGTATCAGTGACCAGTCAGGACCCTCTGGGCTGTGGTAGGTACCTGGACTGAAGTCTGGAGCCACAGGGAAGGCCACTGAGCTCTGGGGATGGGGTGGAGACTATCGCCAATGCACTTGTCAAGAAGTGTTTTCCTCTGTTTAGTTTTCATGGGTATCACTCATTAGACATCACTCACAAGGCTCAGCAAGAGGAAGGATCCGGTGTGTGACATTGTCCTTTCTGTTAGGTCTTCCTCAGCTCGAGCCCTGGTACTGGGATCACGGTGGTAGGAAAGCCAGTGTCTACCCTGTATCCTGGCTCGACATTTCTTGGTTTTTCTTGAGGAAGTTGTCATCCCTCTCAATCTGCATATAACCATTTCCCATCCTACTCTATTGCTCATGGAGATGAGAGCTGCAACGCGTTGACTTGGCTGCTATTACTCTTGCCCATGAGCATCTTTGAAGATCATTTTCATGGGAATTCAGTTGCAAAGTGAACGAGAGATGTGTCAGTTTCCTGTCACCCTCTTCATAAAGCACTCCAGACTCAGTGGTTTTATCCTACTGTTCAGTAGGTTGAATTGCAACGTGGATCTCCTTGCCTAGAACCAAGGTATCCTCGGGGCTGTATTTCTCCTAGAAGACCCTTGAAGGATCTGACTCCACTATTTTCTCAAAGCCAGCCACAGTCCCTGGCCCTAGTCTCCCTCTTTCATTGTCAAGGGCAGCAGTCCTGTGGCTTTCCAGACCTCCCTACTTCCTGAACCACACCTCCTTCTGGTTTAAGAGCCATTTCTAAAGACTCCAGCGGGACAATCCAGGACACTTCCATGGCTGAGTGATTCATCTGTTTTAATTTCAGTCTCACCTGTAACGTTAATACCTCTTGGCCTTATAAGTTAATATGCAGCTTCCAGGGATAGGGATATGGTCACATGGGGGTAGGGTAATGGGATCTTTGTTCCATCACCAAAGCTTGAAAGCTTTAATGATGGGATGGAAGCCTTCTTCCTACCTGGAATGAGGTGGAGAATGTTTTTTATCAAGCTGGAGAGAGATGCTCTCTGTTACTTCCCCCATTTTTTTTATATCGGTAGCAACACAGAGCCTATGTAGACTTTCTGAAATTGGTACAAGTTCCTGGGTTTGAACTACATACCCATCCTAGCCCAGAGAGCAGGGGCACAGCCATTCCCAGCCAGGATGTGCTGCAGACTGCGCTTTGCGGTGGGACTTGGCATGTATTTATCTCACAGGAGCTTGGTGGCAGGGCCTTTCCCCATGAGACAGAGATGAAGGTTCTGTTAAACGGGCTTGTGTAGCCTGAGCAGGCTGTCGCCCAAGAGGGACTTGAAGTCACCAAACCCAGTATCAATGGGCAAGGAATCCTCGCTCCTCTTGGGCCAGAACACAGAATCTGTCTGTCCATCTTCTGAATACTTTTGTTCATGTTACAACGCACACAAAATAGAGGGGAAGATGAGACTCCAGTCACAAGTTTCCTCTGGGGTGCTTGATCAATAGTGACTTTCAGATCCTATCACGAGGAGATGTGGGGTTTAGATGTGGTGGCTTTGCCTAGAGGAGAAACCCGGTGTGTATCATGTGTGGCATCAGGATGGGAAAGAATTCAGCAAGACCTCTTGGAAACCACAGAGGGTGCTTGGGGAAGATGCTAGGATCAGGCTTTGCTGTTCTGTCTTACAACCCTTTTATGTAGAGGTCCAGAGGGCCAGTATTTGTGGCTTTCTGGGCCATGCAGTCTGGTCTCAGTAGTTTAACTCAGTCACTGTAGGGAACCGGATGTGACTAGATTCTAGCAAGCCTGGACTACTAACGCGGAAGGCCGGCTGTGTTCGGTTTGAGCACTGCATTTGGGCAGCTTCACTTCAGATGCCTGCTTCTCATCTTTCTCAAGGGTTGCCCACCCAGTCTTTCATCTCCTCAGACAGAAAGGCCAACAAGGTGTTCACAAAGGCAGCAGGAAAAGACCTGGGGTTCCTTCGGTGCTTGTGATTATATCAGAGATCCCTGGTGAGCTCCTTGCGTGTGTGGGCACTTCTGTAGAGTTGAGTGTTCCCCGTCCTATCCCGACTGAGGTGAAGAAGCTGAGGCGTACAGCCTTACACACACTTGGGGCAGCACTCTTTAGTCGGGCACACCTGGCCCCAGCACCTTGTCATCCTGTAGACCAGTGAGGTCACTTGTCCTCCCCTGGAAGCCATGACTTCCTTGATGAGAGCCCACCCCAGTCTGTGGCAGCTCTCGGCGAGTGCCTTGTTATTTGTCGGCAGTATAGATGTGCGAGCCAGGCTCTCTGGGCCAGAGCTTTGCTTCCGCCGTGCACACCACAGCTAACCCCTCTGACAGGGGAGTTCTAGGGAAACCACCCACCCCAGAATCAGGCTTGTCCTTCTTTGGCTCTTCTTCTAAAGCACATCTGGAACACAGCTGTGCAGCTACAAGGCAGAGCATTGTCCTGTGGAGGTGAAGCAGGGTTTTCTTCTCTGTGACCTCCAAGGTCCCTGGTTGTGCATTGTCTTCGGGCCAGAAGTAGATTCCCTCCCAGTGTATGGACAGGGTCATCCTGATCTGGGGACAGTTGCTGCTAGGGAGAAGATAGCATGCTTGCAGTTTTGTCAGGTTGTGTTGAATTCTCTCTCACCTCCACACAGTGATCATGGCTCCTGTGGAAGTCCCTGCTGGCAGCCTCCACTGGAGAAGATCACAGGGGATTGTCAAGATTTTCCACTTTCTGTATGCCTGACATTAATTTTCACCTATATAAATTCCTTCCCCTCACTGCCAATTCTTACAGCAGAACTAGTTCCTATGGACTTTTTCCCTTGAGGCTGTGGCTTTTCCCTCCCTTAGCCTCTTTCACCCATCTGCCTCCTACCCACCTAGGCTTTAAAAATCTAGCTATGCCCTAGCCCCGCGCCACAAGTACAGAGCAGGAAAGGGTGCGGCACCGTCCATGGCTGGACCAGAGGATGGTGGTCCATCAAGGAAGCCAGGGGGATGTGGGGGCAGCGGGTGTTGGGTGGGGTCTGGAAAGGTGAGTAGGAATTGCCGCTGAGATAGGTAGATGGGAGCAGGGTAGCAGTGTGTGTGTGTGTGTGTGTGTGTGTGTGTGTGTGTGTGTGTGTGTGCTTTTGTGTGTTAGGGGCACCAAAATGAAGACTATCCCAGAAACTGGATGGATTAGTATAAAAAGCAATGCGTCTAAAAGCCCCCTGGCTTTATGGACAATGCCATGGCTTCTGTAGCAGAATGGAGTCTGTGGGGACAATGGCAGGAGGCGGCCCCCAAGAAAGACAGGATCCAGGGAAGCATAGACAAGAAGCCTGGACCATCCGCAGAGTGCCACGGGAGAATCTGAGCTGAAGAACGACAGGACCAGGAAGACTTGACAGGGCTTGTGGGAACTTCTCAGAAGGTGAAGGACGGTGATGTCTCCTCAAGGACATTTCCCTCTCTTCACTGACGAGGCTGAAAGATTGGCAGGTAGAACAATGTGACTCAAAGCCCTGACAGCTCTAAACTCCAACCACCCGACTGAGGCATTACATAGAGGGAGGCGCTGGTCGCAGCTTTCGGTAATTCTGGCTGGCAGAGGGACGCGGTTGGCGGTTGAAGGTGAAAGAGATCACGCAGAGGCCATGGTGGACTTCCCGGTCTGGAGGGAAGCCACTTCCTGAGGAAAGGACGCGTGTCCTCAGGGCTGCACCTCACTATCATCCGCGGGAAGTGCTCTTGAGGTGGACATCCGGGACAGCCGCAGTGGGCAAAGAGCACGCATGCTCCTCACAGCGATGGAAGCCTGTGGTCTGATGGTATCTCTCCAGGTCTCACTTTCCCGTCTTCATCAGGACTCTGAGTAAAGATGGCAGGGCCACTTGCATTGGCCAGGAAACTTTTGTTCCCTTTAGTCCTGAATTTAGAGAGCACTTGAAAAAGCAATTGCCCCAACCAGTCATCAATAGCCTGACTCAAAGAAATAACGAAACTCCATGAGCAGGAGGATATTCACTGCTAGGGTGGACTGGAAACCACCAAGTACTGCTCGGTTTCCAAGACATGGCCAGGATTCTGATTTACTCAGAGACACCAAGTGTGCATGCACACCGGGGATAACAACTCCTAGGAGGCTCGCTTTGTGCTTTTTTTTTAAGTAGTTAATTGCCTTGCGGCCAAATCAGAACCGATGTCCATCTCCTGGGGTTGTGAGACAACACACATGAAAACAGCTGGCACCATACCTGTCGTGTGTCATAATTTCACCCTCTCCTCTCCCAAGAGAGTGCTGCAGGAAGTGACGGCTGAGCAGTTCAGGCCCAGCCTTCTCGCCTGTGAGAGGGAATAGATGCTAACTCTTAGTGGTCATATATTGAATCATAGGGCATGCACAGCAGGGTGCCAAGCACACACTGAGAGCTCCAAGGACAGGAAAGAGTTTAGCTCTGCCTTTTACAGGCTAAAACTCAGCTTTGGAAGTTATTTGACGAATTACTGGAGGGAGAAGAGGAAGGTTCTCGTGTTTCTCTGGGGCAGCAGGGTCAGGATGGCGGATGGAGCTCCTGAGGGCTCCGGCTTCAGTGCATCATTAGCCATCTATTGGGGTTCTGGGCCTGTCTCGTAGTAGAGAAGAGAAACGAAGACAGGATGAAGATGTTAGCAGGAAAGAGAGCACTGGGTACCAGCAGATGAGCTGTGAAGCAGGGAGAGGACCACAGTAAGATACCGGCATCCAGGCTGGCAAATTGACAAGCGCTCTTATCCACAGAATTTGGACTTTCTAAAACAATCAGAAGCCAACAGCCCGATAGCAAGAGCCACCTTTAGTGCTGACTTCCGGGTGCTCAGTTAGCCTCACCTTTGTCCCGCATGAGCAGCACTGTTACTGACCGAGCCACAGGGACATCAGCCACAGCAGTCAAGTGAGACAACACTAAGTGGCTAAAATTACTGGAATTGACCGATTGAGAAGGTACCATTTGCACATAGTTCACTGCAAGGAAGGACTCTCTTGAAAGCAAAAATGATTATTATTTGCTGAGTGCACACAGGAGTCTGGTATTAGGATAGACACTGTATGTTCATGACCGCCACACCCCGTTAAATAGTATTGACTCCATTTCCCACAGAATGAAAACGACATAAGAACCTAAGAACCATACAGGAAGTAGGGATCCACCCAATCTGCCTGCACTTTCCACTTGCTGCCACAGCCTTTGGCAGCTAAGATTGGGCCTCCCCTTTCTCATTCACTTCCTGTCAAGCTCATCTCCTTCGCAATCTCAGCTTGGGCTCCCTGGCTGGCCCGATTTGCTCTTTCTCTTGCCATTATTCCTTGGGGGTTTCGCACTTGCTGTTTTTTACTGTCTGACGCTTGCTCCTCCCAACCCCCATATACTCAAGTCTCTAGTGTTGACTTCTCAGAGGCTGTTTCTCGCTAACGTGCCTCTGACTTGTGTCCTGCTTCATTTGGCTCATATCTGAAATCCTGCCTGAATTACCACACCTCCTGCAGGCTATCAACCACTGGAGAGAAGAGCCTGCCTGCCTCCCTTCTTCGTTTTTGAACCCAAGGCTGCCTACTTCTTACTAATCGCCCCCATTGAAATCCTGTACAGCAAGCCCTGCCTCTGACCACAAAGCAAGTTCTCACTCTGATGTCGCCTGTGTTTGTACCCCCTAGTGAAATGCCCCGAAGGAAGCTTCTATCAGGATGGGCTATGTACTCCCTGTCCCGTTGGCACCTACCAGGAACAGGCAGGCAGCTCGGCCTGCATCCCATGCCCAAGAAGCAGAACGACCATCTCTGCTGGCGCCTTCAGCAAGACTCATTGTAAGTTCTTCTGGGGCCACTCTGGAGGAAAAGCCTTTCCACACGGTGGGATGCAGCATAGCTGTTCAGTGTCAGTACTGGACACTTGGAGGTAGAGCTCTCTGCACCCTGGAAACTGCCCCACGGTGGTAGGAGGTTGAATAGCATTGGTATCCCATACCTGCTAGATAGCAACAGCAGCCTCTCCTCCCCCAAGTTATGACAAGCAAACTTATATGATAAGTATAAGATTTCCCAAGTATTTCTTGGGTGGCCGGGGGTGAGGAGGGCTGATGACAAAATTTTCCAGTTTTCGAGAACCACTGGGTAATCAAAGCCCTACTTCTGTGAATCCCAGGCTCCTGGCCAATCACGTTATCTGCAAAGACTCATTCAGTCATCCCAGCTCCTCTCCCAGGTCGATACTATGGCCCACTTTTTACAGGTAGAATGGGGATTCAGATAGGTGAGCTTATTTAGTCAGAGCCGCCCAGATAACTCAGCTGACCTTGGACATTAGTTTTGCCTGAGTTTGAAACTTCTGGCTTTTGTAAGTAGACCTTATCCGATCCTGAAGAGAGTTTTCCCATCTGGATGCATAATGCCCGTGTGACACATGCTCAGTCTTATCTGGCCCTGTGCTAGCCACAACCCCATCTACGTGGTCTCTTGGTGTGTTTTGATACTTCCAGAGTACCAGCTGACTACTCAGAACCACCTGGGTATTCCTGGGTTTGCCCTGGAAAGACCGGTGCCTTGTGGGAAACCTTTTCATGAGGGCCTGAAATTACATCAGCTGGAAGCAAGTTGTTGTTGTTTACAATGTGAATAGTTGCCAGAATTTTTTAGGAAGTGATCATAGGAGGCGAAGTCACCTTCTTTGATAAGGAAAGTTTCCTTGGAAAGAAGAGTCATGCTAATAGGATGGTAGTGCTGACAAACTCAAAATAAGAGGGATTTTGTAGGTAGGAACCTGCCATTCCTAGACCAAACTCCTCAGCACACGGTGTCCTTGACATCGGAGTACTATTTCCCCTTAAACACTGACTCGTGTTGGAGGTGACAGGCATGTCACAGCAGTACTATCTTAAAAGGACATCTGTGTCATGCCCTGCTCCCTCCCTGTAGGAGCGGTTAAGACAGAAATGGAGAAAGCAGAAGGACCTATGGTGGCATTTGTATCAACCAGAGCCGACTTGGTCCGTCCCTCCCCTTGTCAGCATGATGACTAAAATCAAGCAGCGGTCCTTCTCTGAGTGTCAGTCTGACCTCTGTGAGACAGGTCACTGATGCCACATTCCGGGTACACTGCCTGTTGCAGAATGGCTAGGGTGATAAGCACTGATGTTTTGTGGTTCTCAAGATGCGGCATCAGTATGGGACATGTCAACATGGCAGGGAAGAGGTTTAGAGGTGGGGATACATCAACATGGCAGGGAAGAGGTTTAGCGGTGGGGACATGGAGTGGGAGGGATAGAGATGTCAAAGTTGGGTCTCTCTAGCTACTTATTTAATGAGGCCCTTATGTACTGTCTGCACAGAGCCCAATACCTTCAGCCCTCCTCTGCTTAATCTCATCCATCATCTTCAAAACTCCGGACCACATCCCACCGTAACTGCATTCCAAAGGTCAAATTCTACACATAAAAGACTGTGGCTTCAGCACATGATTTGGGGCAGACACAATGTCAACTCCATAGCAAGCAGTGGGGAAATATTTAAAAGTGTGATAGTACCTCTCCCTACACACACACACACACACACACACACACACACACACACACACACACACCCACAGGAACATGCACACTGAGCCAGGTGCTGTGGTGACATCTCTGTGTAGCTCTAGAGGACTGAGCTCTGTCATGAACATTCCTCATTCATCTTCCTGAATCCAGAGCAGGGTTAGTGGATTGATCTACTAACTGGCCAGGTTAGTAGACACTAGTCAGGTGGAACAGGGACTTCCAGGAAGAGGCAGTAGCTTGAACACGGGGACAGAGAGATGTTCATCCCTGGACAGCATGCTTATGTTCATGGAGGCTGAGACAGAGTAAACATTTTAGACACCGGGCAATGCAGTCGGCTTCATGTCCTCCCTCATGGAGCTCCCGACAAGTGGGATGCACGTTGCCGCTAACCAACTCTTCACAGGGTAATAGAAACACTGACCAAGCTTACCGCTGTGAAGGAGTGGTATCAATTCCAGGAAGAATCATAGCATTGGACAAGACCAAGTCGGGGGTCTGGAGATGTTGCCATCTCTCTAGGCAGCGATTTCAAACTATAAGATGAGCGGTGTTTGCAGGCAACAGAACTCTGGTGTTCATTCTTCTGGAGTCTGGAAGCCCTAAATCAAGTTGACGTCAGGTTTGGTGTCCACTGAAAAGACCGCAGAGGATGACTTTCTAAGTGTCCTTGTATGGCAGAGACTGCAAGCTGGCTCCTTTGTCCTCTTTTGTAAGGGCACCAACCCCATGTCTGAGGACACCATCCTCATGATGTTATCCCTTTCCTAAGGTCCCACCTCCTACTATGATCACATTGAAGATTATATTCCAAAGTATGGACTTCACGATCCATATGAAAGGTGTGCTGTGGGTTGGACATAGAGCCTTGTTAGTATGCTATGCTGAGGATGGACACACAAGAGATCTCAGATAGAATGTCTGGGTTACCCATGACTTTGACGTCACCATGGTCCAGGGGTCCTGGAAGTTGGAAGAGAAGGAATAGACCACACAGTGCTGTTACTCATTACTGTGTCCATCTGTTGTTCCAGGTGTCACCGACTGTCAGAGGAATGAGGCCGGCCTACAGTGTGACCAGGATGGCCAATACCAACCCAGCCAGAGGGACAGGGACAGTGGGGCAGCCTTCTGTGTGGACAGTGAGGGACAGAGGCTACAGTGGTCGCAGACAGAGGCTGGACTCTCAGACTCCCAGTGCCTGAGTACGTACTGGTTGTTATGTCTACTGTGGTCGTTGGGATCACAGTCTTCAGGGGCCTACAGAAAAGGATTGCACACAGGTGCCATTCGCCTCCATCTTGCTTAGGGTTTCTATTGCTGTGAAGACACTCAGTTTAGAGGTATAGTACATTGTCATCATGGCAGGGGACGTGGCGGTGTGCAGGCAGACATGGTGCTGGAGCAGGAGCTGAGAGTCCTTACACCTTACCTTTCAGGCAACAGGAAGTGGTCTGTGACATTGGATGATATCTTGAGCATAGGAGACCTCAAAGCCTGCCTTAACAATGACAGACTTCCTCCAACAAGGCCACACCTACTCCAACTAAGTCATACCTCCTAATGATGCCACTCATGAGCTTATGGGGGCCAATTACATTCAAACCACCACAGCCTCCTACTCTATACTAAAAGCTTTTAACTACATAGAAATAGGAAAATGAAGATTTCCTTCACTCTAGATCTGTTACTATGCTTGCTTTTTTTGTTGTTGAATCATCTGAAAATAAGCTTTGGGAATCATAAGACCATTGCCTCTGAATAAGTTAGCAAGCAAAAGAGATGAATTTTCATGAAATCTGAACTGGTGAGACCTCCTCTCTGGCAGGTTTGCATCTGTGCATCTGGGTAGCATTTCTCTCTCAGTTGGGTGCTGTGGAACTATTGGGTATCTGTCTCTATTCTATCTGTCCTTATGGACTGACCAGGGATGACTTGCTCAACCTCTCTGGTCACCAGTGTCCCTTCTCTGTTTTCTGAGACATTATGAGCATCAACATCATCTCAAACATCTACAAATACTCTCCAAGCACAATCTCAGGTCCTCAGTGAGCAGTGGATGAGAGGGTCCCAGTCCTGCCATCAAGTCCTCCCACACAAGGTGTGATGATAAGAGTCTGCAGAGCAGAAGAGAAGGGTGTGGCATCTAGGGTCAGAGTGGATTAGTCCCCAAGGTCCCCTGCTGTACATGTAGTCCGGGAAACTCACTCACCCTCAGTAGTTTCCTCATTTGCAACACGAGGATCTGAGGGCCTCTCTTACAGGGTGTCGGAAACTCCGCTTTGCTACATAGCAAGCACACAAAGAGAGCATGTGAATACCAAAATTAATTTCCACCTTCCTCTCTTCTCTGCTGGCCATGCACTTCTTCATAGCCCCCAGCATGGTGAAGAAATCCAAAACCAGGGACTGTTCATGGAGCATCTCCAAGCAGAGAGATAAATGGACTGTGCTTTCAGACTTTGTTAGAAATGGAAAGAGCTGTCAAGTTCAGTTTAATCTAGAACATGCACGTGTAGTCTCTATCAAGCTGGCCTTAGTGACACCAGAATGAGTCTGCTGTGGTGTTTGCTAGCCTGACACTTCTAGAGTGTGTACACTGCCATAAGGAATGGAAAAATAAGGAGAGAGGGGGGATTATGAGGAGCAAGGCCGAGTTTACGAACCTGGCAGCTTCAGTGATGAGTGCAGAAACTTAGAAGATGTTTTATTTCTTAATTTTCAAAAGTTTTCATACAAGTTTGTATTTTACATAAGCAAATACCTCTTTCTATCCCTTTTCTCGTTCTTGTCTCTTTCAATTAGTCCCTTTTGTTCGTCTATATGACAGTTCCACAGACCCCTTTGTTCTACATCAAAGCATCAGAAAGATTAAAGCTGTTGTTTCTCTATTAACACTTCAGTGTTTTTATGTTTTACATATAAAAACTGAGAAATGACAACTTAATGTCTCATCTACTTACATGTTTTACTGCTTCCTCATTAAAAACGTGGATGTATTGACCTGTGCAGACCAATGTAGATGCAAGAGTCCTTTGTAATGAATTGGATATCTATGCTAATGAGCACCTACATGCGGGTTTGAAATATGACTGAATATGCTAAGGGGTTATAAATAACTCCTGTGTGTTTTAATAGAGACCTGTGGCATAGGCACACTGGAGATTTTGTGGTTTGGAAGGCGATTCTCTTACCTTGGCTGTCACTCTCTTCCTTCTACCCTTGTGAGAAATGTGCCCCAAGTCATAGAGCTGCAGGGATTTGTCTTCTGTTCCTCCTCACTTGTCTAGTTCCTGAGCAGGTGGCTCTGTGAGTCCCACCAAGTGGATCTCAAGTGTGTTGACGGTCATTAGAGAAACAGATGTCAACCCATCGCTTCAGTAAATACACTCTGAAAAGTGTAGGAGGCACGTGACTCATCTCCAGATCTGCAAAACCTCATATGCACATGTTTGATTTGTCTTGCAAAAAATAGCTTACCTCACTTCAGGAAGAATTCGGAGTATTTTAGTGGAGGATTTTTCAGTGTAATCATCATGCAATGTAATTAGCATTCCAAGACAGGGAAAGAGATGACGAGTCAGGAAAAAGCATCAGTTAACGCTGAGAAAAGATGAGATGAAAAGTCCAAGGTAATGTGAGCTCTTCCCTTTGCTGCCCGAGAATAGGGTAGGAAGCAGAGACACAGCGAGTTATACTGCTGGGACTTGGATGTGAGGCCGCAGGCTGGAGCTCCTTCCAGTGGCCGTTGCTCCATGTGAGACAGTTACGTGACCAAGGGTGACATCTTGACCTTGATAGGTCTTTCTAGCCTGACCAAATAGTCATGTGCAAACGCCCTCAGCATGCTTGCAGGCTTGGACCTCACAGGTCTGCTTTATTTCCAGCAATACAGAAGTTTGAGAAAGTTCCAGAAGTGAAGGTGATCCTTGACTCCAGTTCTGCTGTGATAGTCAAGTCCAAAGTTCCTGGTACTGGCTCTCCACTGGTGCAGTGCTTGGCAGGTGAGTGAAAGGAGAGACAGGGAGAGACAGGGCAGACAGCGCCATTCACTATGATGAAAAAGTTCAATGAGTCAAGAACATTCTAGGCAACTTGATTTATTAAATGCTTGTGCAATTCCCACCTTCTCTGCTGTTTGTCTCATATCTACTGACTGCCAAGAGTTGTACTCGATGTTGGAGAATGGAAATGTAGCTACTTGTGTATCACCCCACACCTGCCTAATCTGTGTATTGAAGGTAGGAGTAACGACTTTTGTCCATTGAGCCTACCTCCCTAGTGTCATCTAGGAATTCTGTAACCACCCCACAGTGATCCCCAAGTACAGGTTAGAAGAAGGCTTTGGGAGTGTAAGTAGTTTGTTCAATGATATGACAAGTCTTAAATTCAAACCCAGGCTAGCAGATATGAAGGCAGCAGCTGTGACCACGGCCACGTACCTCTTTCAATGGCTTGGGTCAACATCTCTGTCTGGGCTAAGCTTATCCTCTTGTTTGTATTGCAACCATAATACAAAGGCAGGAAGCAGGGACCTAACATGGTGAACAGTGTCAAGGGGAAAGCTGAACAGACACAAGAAGGCAGCCCCAGGACAGCAGACTTGGTGGGTAACTTCTGGGGTCACCTGCCCCTGCAGGGGGTACTACAGGGTCACACCCTGTAGCACAGCCTGATTCGGAAAGACGAGGCAGCGGGCAGGAGAAAGGGGCATGTAGAGTTCTATGGAGTGAGGTGAGCAGAGAGGGCAAGGCCCTTTGCTGCCACCAGGAGACACTTTATCCAAGCAGGTGAAATCCAGTGCTCAAGGCTAGGGGACAGCAATAGACACAAGTTAGAGTGAGGCTACCGTGTCAGGGCTATCTGGCCAAATAGGGTCTGATAGAAAATGAGAGCAGGCTGTCTCATTCCGAGGTAGGCAGGATCTGCAGTTCTTGTGCTTGGATGTTCTCTGTGTGCGTGGGTGCGCATGTACGTGAGCGCGTGTGTGTGCGTGTGTGTACGTGTGTGTGCGTGTGCATGCATGTGTGTGTGCATGCACCTGCGTGCATGTGTGTGTGTGTGCATGTACGTGTGTGCGTGCGTGTGTGCGTGCGTGTGCGTGTGTGTGAATAGTGGGGCTGTGTACACGAGATGAGGGTGGGGGCAGGGTGAAGCATCGTCTGTGCCTGGAGATGACTCTCTCATGGCACTTGCAGATTGTGCAGACGATGAGGCCTGCAGCTTCCTCACGGTGTCCACAGTGGGCCCCCAGGTTTCCTGCGACTTCTATTCTTGGACAAGAGACAACTTTGCCTGCGTGGCTCTTGACCAGGTAAGCCGCAGCAGCTGTAGGCAGCTGTAGTCCTTTCCCGCGGTATGGGACGTGTGCATGTATTCCCACGGAGGCAGCGGTACTCCTTTTCTGCCACGCCAGATGTGCTCCTGTGTGCCCACAGTGCCTAAAGACGGTCAAAGTGATGAGTCTGGGAACTGCAGCAGTGGGCCAGAGAGACCGAGGAAGTGACAGCATCTGACCAATCAGGACAGTGCCTCAGGGTGGAGGACTCTCTCATCTGCCATTGCTTACCTCATCTGGCACTTGGGGCCTCCTGCTAAGAGGTTGTTGTCCAGAGCCCTAAATACCATCTGACCCCTGAGTTCTGGACACCAGCATTGCTTGCATTGTGGAAGTCAAGGGTGGCCAGGCATTGGTGGCACACGCCTTTAATCCCAGCACTCGGGAGGCAGAGGCAGGCAGATCTCAGTGAGTTCGAGACTAGCCTGATCTACAGAGCAAGTTCCAGGACAGGCTCCAAAACAATACAGAGAAACCCTGTCTCGAAAATAAAACAAAACAAAGCAGAAAGTCAAGGGTGCTTGTGCTTTGAAAATATAAAAAGGCTGGACATTCATCAGACCTACGTGAGACTGTTGTCTCTACAAGTGAAGGATGTTGGGAGACAGCAAGTTTCAGGTCTTACCATTGCCTTAGGGTACAAGGGCTTCCAGCCAAAACCAAGCTCCAGGACCCAGGGACCTCAGTGCCTGCTCTTGCAAGAGTCCACTCCACTATCCAGATTTGTCTGAGTCCTCTTAGAAAATGTTTACATGATGTAATCCCGTCTTAGTGTGTTGACACAGGGGGCCTTCTCCTCTTCCCAGACTCCCTCACGAGTTTTGCGTGTCTGCATCTGTTTAGTGTGTTGACACAGGGGGCCTTCTCCTCTTCCCAGACTCCCTCACGGGTTTTGCGTGTCTGCATGTGTTTAGTGTGGTAGCCAGCCCACAGTGTGGATGCGTATTGCCCACTTCAAGCGCTACCGGATTAGGACACCCGGGTGCCTGGTAGTTTTAAGACGTCACCTGCCCCGGGCACTGCACACACCCGTGTGTCAGAGTGTTCCTGAGGGCTGCCCCATCAGGTGCATGGAGAGGGCTCCCCGGAGTTCTGGCAGCCTGTATGATGTAGATGGAAGGCTGGCAGGACTCAGATTGAAACATGAGTCCCTCCCACTTGTTCTCGGCTATTTAGTGTCCTTTGGATCCTTCTGGTAACCCACACAGTAATACATGGCCATCTACCCGCATCACAGGAGACTATGAGGATGGAAGGAGGCTTGCAGGTGCATCACAGGGCAATCCCTGCTGTGAGCATCCGTACAATGGGTACCACAGCTCTCATCGGTTTCATGCCCCTCCCCCGGCTTCTAACTAGGCCAGCAGGAAATGTCACAGGAAGTCCTGTGGGGAGCGTGGTTAAGGCTCCTCCTCCCAGGATCTTGGGCCATCAGTGCTGTCCTAAAGCAGGGCTGGGGTTGCATGTTGGTTACATCTGTTTGGTCCACCTTGTCCCAGGCTGGAACCCATTCCTAACAGCTCTCAGAGCTTCTCTAGGTCTGTAGCTCCAATGCCTTTCAGATTTGGGAACCGCAGTGCAGGGGTTCAGTCTCCCAAGTCCAGACATCCATTTTGTGGTTCCTCCCAGTCAGGTACAAACAGAAGGGATAAAGGCTGTCTTTCACCACTCTGGGTCTCTACCTCAATCCTTTCGGGTCTCCACAGCCCCTTCTCTTCATGCTCTCCATGGCCCCTTCTCTTCGTCCTCCCCATGGCCCCTTCTCTTCATGCTCTCCATGGCCCTTCCCTCCCTCCTTCGGGGCCTTCTGTCTCTTCTCTTAGGAAAACATGAAGAAACAGTGCTTTCATGTAGCCCGTAGTTTAGTCTCTGCTCTCAAAAGTCTTCATGGGAAACTCCATGGCTGGTAAAATCCTAGAAACAAACCGGAGATGAGTATGGTCAGCTTTGTCCCACCCGCTCACCCGGTGGGACTGCTGGAAGAAAATCCGAAAAGAGATCCCAGGTGACCAAGAATGGCAGTCCTCTGACAGTCTGACTCATCTCCCCAAGCCTCGGAACCTGCCTGTGGACAGAACTGTGCACCGGCGAGGCCTCCCCTGAGCTGGCTCCTCCTGCCCATTCCCCAAATCACTGGAGAGAATTCCTGGTCTCCAGTTAGAGCCCCGCCCACATTCAGTTTCTCTGGGAAGCTCTTCCTGTGGAAACCATCACTGTCACCCCGTTGCATGCCTTCTGCAGCTGCCAACACAGTTGATGGGAGCTTACTGCTCCCACGTGTGCCCCTCTAGTAGGCCAGGAAGACTTAGTGCCACATGTCCTCGCCAACGTCCCTTGGAGGCCCTCCACAGAGAACTGTGCTAAATACGTAATTGCTTTGCTCTGAACCACGGGCAATTCTGGGTAATAACAGGGCCTTTTTCCACTCCCAGGACCAAGATGCTGCGGGCAGCTCGAAGGCAACTAGCTTCAGAAGCCTTAAGTGCCAGGTGAAAGTGAGGGCCAGCGGTGCAGATTCTCTGGCCGTGTATGCGAAGAAAGGTAGGCCTCTGGGGTGGGTGGCTGACGCCAGGGCTTCCCTTGGTGGCCTTTGGAGTGGTTTCCCCATGATGCATCAGTGAGGAGGAGACTGTCCCCTCCCCTCACGCTGTGCATTAGACCTGCTTTTCCCCATCCCGCCCGAAGCAGCCTCAGCCCACCCGCCTGCCCTTGGCAGACAGTGGCCTCTCAGCAGCTGCAAAGGGATTTCTGCACGAAGTTCATTTGAGCCATCAGTTCTGGTCGCTATCCCAGTGCTGGGCTTCTGAACCATATAACGCAGGAGCCCAGGGGCCTATGATAGCTCAGATGCAATCAGACATGCACCCCACTCAGCCTGGCCTATGTGCCGTGTATGCCAAGACCTTGATCCTGCCTATGTCTGCCATTCCAGCAGGTCCCAGCAGCTCCATGCAGCCATGCCTCCGGGACCTTCTGACTCCTCTCTCTCTTTTTGTCTCCTGAGCCAGACCACACCCCCATCCACATCTAGCCCTGAAAGGGCTTTCTTTTCCACCTCTATGCTCCTGGGACCGCTCTATGATAGCAGTGTGCGTGTGTGTCAATTGGGAGATGGCAGATGCCGAGGCTGTGGAAATCAAGGTCTTAAAAGGGGCGATGCTGTCCCGTGTGACTACACACTGACTGACTCCCGTCTCCTCCCGCCTTATATTCCTCTCTAGTGCTGGGATTAAAGGTGTGCACCACCATCGCCCAGCCTCTATGGCTGACTAGTGTGGCTGCTGGGACTAAAGGTGTGTGCAACTGTGTGGCTGACTGTTGTGTCTAGCTTTGCAGTCTGATCTTCAGGCAAGCTTTATTTGTTAGATCATAAACAAAATATCAAAACTTATCCCCTAGAGTATGAGGCAGCATGGGTGCTACAGAGGGTTGTACATACGACAGGGATCTTTCTACCTCCCACCACACTGTGGCTACATATGTACTTGCATGTACTGTTAAAATGATTGGTTCTTAATCTTCAGTAAGAAATTTCATTGGAGCGTCCTAAATGCTTATCTGTTCTCATCTACCTTACTATTGCTGTGAAAAATACACATGACTGAAGCAACAAAAAAAGATCTCAAGGTCTGTTTTTAATTTAATGTTTGCTAATGGAAATGGTATTTCTTTGTTGTTACTGTTTTGGTTTTCCTTTTATCGAAAATAGATTCTTTTCTCATATAACATAGTACTTTATTTTATTATTATCCCTTGGAAGTCTGTCTGTTTTCTAGTGAGAGACAGAAAGGGGGTAGATCTGGGTGGGAGGGGAGGTGGGGATATATGGATCTCAATAACTCTCCAAGGTCCAGAACCACATGAGTAGCAAGAAATATTCTACTACATATCACACATCTTATTTTCCGTGTGCCTTCTCTTTTGCCTTATGAAAACTTGAAGAAAGGCCTCAGGGACACAGACTTTCTTTAGTACATGGTGTGTCTTTAAAAATGGCTTTCTATCTATCTATCTATCTATCTATCTATCTATCTATCTATCTATCTATCTACCTATCTATCTATCTACCTACCTAACATATCTGTGTGTGCGTGTGTGTGTGTGTGTGGGGAGCGTGCATGCGTGTGTGTGCGCGTGTATGTGTATGTTCACACGTGTGTGCACGTGTGTGCATGTGTGTCTGTCTGTCTGTCTGTGTGTGCACATGTGTGTGTGTGTTGGTACATACATGCCACAGCACGCACAGTCAGAGAACAACTGAAAAAGACATTTTCCTCTTCCACCACATGGGCTCTAGAGATCAAATTCAGGCTGTCAGCTGAGCTCTACGAACTGAGCCATCTTGCCATCCCTTTCAGTCTCTCTGTCAGTCCCTGAAGAGCTGAGCTGGGGCCTCAGCATTCCCAAAGCAACACGCGCATCCCAGGGAGAAAGTCTGGGCCCCTAGGAGTGTGTGAGGGATGAGCAGCAAATGTCTCAAGTCTTCCGTGACCTGCACACTCTGTCCCACCTTGACTGCTTCCTGCTCCTCATCTCCAGGGTCAGTGGAGAACCAGCAGTATGCAGCTGGGTTCTGGGGCTAGTGGCTCCTTCCACTGCCCTGCACTGAAGCTCTCCAGTGGTTCTGAGAGGCAGGATTTCTGACTTCTGTGTCTTATTTCTGTCTTGGAGACAGCCAAGTGGACTGAACCTCCACAGTGCTGGCTGTTTGATCTCTGGAATCTTCCCAGACATTCTAGGCTTTAGTGTTTGTAGCAGTGAAATAGGGTCCTGTGTGGATCTGGGTGTCCAATAGGAGTCCTGTATGGATCTGGGTGTCCTGTGGAAGCCCCTGATACCACTCTAAACCCCGCTTAGCAACGACTGGAAGAGTAAGAAGTCTGCAACTACTTTCTTCTCATGAGGTTTTCTGTCGGGTGAGGACCAGGAGACAGCTAATGGAGGCACCATCTGGGACATGAGGGTTGGAGGGGAGTGAGGTGGGTCCTCTGAGGACTGCAGCTGTAGGCAGATGGACTAGGCCCTGAAGCCCCAGTCTTGATCTGGAAACAGCTAGTGTTAGATGCCAAGGCCCCAGCCTCAGGTGACCCTACACCACCCTCCAACTCCCACAGGGACAAGTGCAGTGTTTGCTCCCTCACATCCCTGTCCCAGTGGGGCAGAGTGTATGTGGGGTAACAGAGTCTCCTGGTGTTGGATTTCTCTGATCTACAGCCAGGACTGCTAAGACTTCCTCCTAGATGTGCAATTGTTTCTACCATCCACTTTCAAGCACAACAAAACTTAGGGATTGTTTTAACCCAACAATAGAAGCCAAAACAAATAAAGTAACCCCAGCTAAAAATGCCCCTTGAAAACTGTCATTAGGCCTTTTAGCACACTTAAAAATACAATTGCACTTTCGTTTGTTGTCTTATGCCTCCTCCTGTCTCCTGGAAGTTTATATTTGGATGACAGGGGAAAGTGAGAACCTCTTTGCTGCCAAACTAAACCAAGGGCAGAAATTGGCTTGTTGCTTTATTTGGCTCTCTGTCTGTGTAAAGCCAAGATGTGTTCCAATTGTACTGGAAGAGGAAGGAGGCTGGACTCAGCCTTCCATGCTTTCTTCATCTCTGATCTATTTCCCATTTGTACTTTAAGCTCAGTCCTTTTTTCCAACATGCTAATCATATGTCATAGTTTCTAAACAGTCTTCACTCCGTAAGGGCGATCATGTCCAGTTCCACCCCTCACCCTAAGTCACGTGTGCAATGGGAGCAGAACGGAAGCCTGGGGTAGGGGAGGAAGGAAGCGTCAGAGACTCCTAGCTTCTTGAGATGCCCAGCATCACCTGCTCTCCTTACCCAGCTGAGGCGTGTGGTCCTGGACCCTGTGAGAGGAGCATGTGATCCTTCGCATCATAAGAAACCAATGTTGGGAAGCTCCTGTGTGGTGGGCTAGCCCAGCCCCCAACCAAAAGAGGAGATCTGGAAAGGGGAAGCATCCAGGCGAAACATCCATCACATGTGCACACCGGAACCAGCCCCACTGTTGAGGACGTGACAGCCACGCAGGGCACACAGCCGTGGCGTGTCCTTAACTCCTCACTAGGCATCACAGGACGAAAGGGCTTTAGAGGCTGTCTCCTCAAAATAACATGAACACAAGAACAAGGCTATACCTACACACACACACACACACACACACACACACACACACACACACACAGTGTTTGTAGATTGGAACTCTAAGGGGGACTAGAATCAGGAACAGGCAAACCCCAGAGCAAACCACTTCTAACCAGAGGGGTTAGCAGAGAGAATATGACCCTGATGAGCTCCCTAGAAACAGCTGTTGTGGACAGTATAGAAAGCTACTTGGAGAGCAGGTGTCAGCAGGTGCTGAGTGATGGTGGGTCACACAGGGAAGGGCCATATGTCAGTGACTTTGGAAGGAAGAGCCGAAGACAGGCCGAAAGCAAGAGGCTAGACCCCTTAGCTCTGCAACTGCCTCACGTACTCTAAATCCCTCCGCTGATGCTTGACATAGCAAGATGGCATAACTGGCATCCGATGCCTGCCACTGCCACGCACCCAGGCTTACCTGTATCGCACCCATGGAGCGGTAAGCACGGGATGAGATGGAATAGGGTGCAGACAGGGCATGGTTGTCACGTGGGAATGATCCCAGGGACAGCACACGCAGTTTCCTAGGCGTGCTGACACTCACGGGTGTGATGTGCGCGGTCCAGGTAAACGGCTGTGAGGTCCCTGTGTGTCAGCCATATCCTCCCTCTGCCCACACAAGTACAGAGGCTTCGTGCCCCCAGGGAGCCCTGTCTGGGTCCCACACTGTCCCCACACTCAGCAGGCTTGACTGATGTTCCGCAGCGCGGCTCAGCCCCACAGGCTTTGATGGCTTTACAGCCCGTTTCTGCCTTCCCTTGCTTTTGTTCCATTTTAAAACTGAGTTACACATTTTCCCCACTCCCTCCCCTTCCACTTTCCTCCTGCCCCTCCACACGCCTCATATACTCAAGAGATCTTGTCTTTTTTCCCCCTTCCTAGGCGAATCCATGTTTGTCTCTCTTAGGGTCCTCTTTGTTGCCTAGGTTCTCTGGGGCTGTGGATTGTAGACTGGTTATCCTTTGCTTTCTGTCTGATACCCACTTATGAGTGAGTACATACTATATTAGTCTTTCTGGGTCTGGGTTACCTCACTCAGGATGGCCTTTTCTAGTTCTGTCCGTTTGCCTACAGATTTCAAGATGGGCATTGCTTTTTACCACTGAGTAGTACTCCATCGTGTAAATGCACATTTTCTTTATCCGTTCTTCAACTGAGGGTCACTTTTCCTGCCTTTCTTCAGGCCACACATCCACTGCCACTTCTCAGAAGAGCTTCGAACCAACAGGCTTTCAAAACGTGCTCTCCGGGCTGTACAGCCCTGTCGTGTTCACAGCCTCGGGAACTACCCTGACAGATGCACACCTCTTCTGCCTGCTTGCCTGTGACCGTGACTCCTGCTGTGACGGCTTCATCCTCGCACAGGTCCAAGCAGGTATGGCCAGCTGGAGGACTGGCCCTGACCAGGGGTATCGGGAACTCAAAAACCACAGTGTGGAGCCTGGCATTTGCATTTGTAAGCATGATGTCACCACTAGCCTGGCATTTGCATTCATAAGCATGATGTCACCATGCCCAAATGGAAGGCTATAGTCACACACAAAGTCAGGTGCAAACCCTGGCCTCTTCCCGACGTTATAGACTGTGCCAACACTTCCTGTTTTTAACCCTGGTTTATCCTTTATGCTTGTCTTCAATTTTATAAACAAAAACAGAGGCCTCCAGTGTTGACGTAATTTGCTCTGTGTTGTACAGCTTCTCAGGGGACAGGGTGGTATTGACTCAGGTGTCTCCTTCCCAGCATCTTCCTGTCCCCTGGGAAGACTGGCAAGGTCACTTTTGGTCAAAGTGCCCTAGCTCACCCCTCTGCTCCCGGTGACTATGTTGTTAAGCAACCGAAGGCATCTCTCCCCTTGGTCATCTTCAATGCTTCCTTGGCAGTGGGTGTCCCTTCCTTTTTACAGAAGAAAACCTATGCACTGAGTAGTGACCTTATGGTTAGGAAGGGACGTTGGAGTTGTGATGTAAGGCGGGTGAGATCGTAGGGATTCGGTGGCCTTCTGGGGAAGTCGAGGCTGGGCTGCTCTCTGGAAGGTAAACAGCATGTAGATGAGGTAAGAAGACCAGGGTGATGCTAGCGTAGGATTTACTGAGTGTTAGGCTACAGGCTGGCAGACACCGTCTGGTTTGAAGACCACTGGCAGAGTCTGGGTCTCAGTAATCAGGTCAGCTTGGTGAGTGGACGCCGGAAGCTCACGGCACGCCCCCTGTCCTTTTCTCCCTGAAGAATGTATGGAGAGAGAATGGTACAAGTGGTCGTTACTGAGTTCTGAAAGAAAAGTAACTACAACTTTTCAAACCTATAGTGCTTTGTTCTATCCGGGGAAGAAATGAAGATTTCCTTAGGGTCTAGAATAGAGTGTATACTGTGACATGGGACGGGACACTTTAAAGAGTGGTGGGGGTCCTGGGCAGAGGAAGAAGGAGGCGTCAGAAGTCAGGTTGTGATGAAGAGAAGAAACCTCAAGTTAGCTGCTATCCCCAGAGCAGGGAGACAAGCATGATGTATCCTCGCTTAAGGAGCAGGACTGAGAGGTTGCAAGGGGGCCTTTTCAGCTTCACTAACAAGTGTTTTCATCTTGAGAACACCGGGAGCCCTGGGAGGTTTCCTGCCCAGGGTCATGGCCACATTTGCATTTGAAGCTGCTACTCTGGAGTGTAGAGAAGGTGACAGATGGGGTTTCACCTGGGTGTGGAGCACGTAGAGAAGGTGAGAAGCCACACAAAAGACCAAGTGGCCCAGATTGGGTGGTGACAGAGGGGTGAGGATGAGGACTCTGGTTACAGTTGGTGACCAAGAAAGGGTGTGTGGCTGGCTCATCTGGTGGGAGGCTGCTCTGCAGTAAGTGATGGAGAGCAGAGACACCAGGTTCCGAGGGAAACTCAGAGAGCTCAGGGCTCCACCTGGGCGCAACGTAGCTCATCTTGGATGTAAAGTTCCAGGTGGACTGGACGGAGGGTGGGAGCCACTGGGTAAACAGTGGTGTCAGAAAGGTCTAGTGGGCAGAAGACGAGACCACCACGGAAGCGGCAGCGGCAGCAGCGCCTGGGAGCATCAGAAGCGATGGGACGAGGCCTGGGGCTGCTGCACCGTTGTGAGAACGCTTGCCATGTGTGCATAAGGCTCTGGGTCCCATCTCCAGCACCAAACGCAGCTAGCTTGGGGGTGCACACCCGTCTATCCCACTACTCAGGCGGGAGGGAGACCCGAAGTTCAAGGTCATTTAGTTAGGGGGCTGCCTAGGATACATCAGACTCTGTCTTATTTTTAGTTTAGTTTTTTTTTTTTTTTTGTATTTACAAGACAGGGTTTCTCTGCCTCCCGAGTGCTGGGATTAAAGGCGTGCACCACCACTGCCCGGCTATTTTTAGTGTTTTATTTAATGTTTTTATTATGTGTACAGTGTTCTGTATGCATGTATCCCCACAGGCCAGAAGAGGGCACAATATCTCACTAGGCATGGTTGTGAGCCATCACGTGGTTGCTGGGAATTGAACTCAGGACCTCTGGAAGACCAGCCAGTGAGCCATATCTCAGCCCTATTTTTATTTTTATTTTTATTTTTAATAAAAGAAGGTTTGAGTGCAGATGAGAATTCTGGGGAGACAGAAGGTGATGGGTGAGAAAATGTGTCAGACCCCAGTGAGTACCCTAAAGAAAGGTAGAGCCGCTAGGCAGGGAGGAAGAGACCTGAGCTTCTAAAGGTAAACACGTGAGGGAGGGTAGGGCGTGGGGGAGACTTGACAGTCCCTCGTGCTGCTCACAGCTCCAGGAGACAATCATCGGAAGGTGCCCAGCTGAGCTCACGGCGGCCAGTAGTGGTAAGAAGGAAACCGCTTGGTTTTTGTTGTTTCCACTGGAAACAGGGTCTTGCTCATCTCAAGTCGGATCTTACTAAGTAGCTGAGGATGGCTTTGAACTGACCTTCCTCTTCCACCTTATCAGTGTTGGTGTATGGTACTGAGGATTGACCCCGGGGCTTGTGCGGACAAAAGCAAGCACCCTACTAACGACGCCAGGCCCTCAGGCGCAGAACGGGACCACTAGGTTGAAACGATGGTTAGAACAGCTTGGTTCCTAACTGTCCTTCAGCCCTATGGTTATACTGTGTGGGTTCATGTTAGGGTTTACAGGGGCAAATAATTAAGTGCCCCCCCACCCCACACTTCTTTCTGCATACCCATGCTTAGAAAGTCTGTCTCCAGAGGCAGGATGCCTCCTTGAACTAAACCTATCTTCCGTGGGCGCCGCTGTCTCTGCAGATGCTGTGTTACTCACCAGACCACATGACCCTCCGGTGTGGAAACCCTGACTTCACTTTCCCTAGGATCATATATGAAGGTTCATTTTGTTCCATGGGTTAGCGAGCCTTCCAAGCCCTGTTTTCCATGACACCGTGGTTGGCAGCCTGCTTGCTGTCCCCACCCCTACCCTCAAATACAGGGCCCAGAATTGGGACCCTTGGGACATGCCTAAACCTTCCAGGCTGTCCTTCCAGACTCATCCGGTTCTGTGGGTGGTTGGCAGTTTTAATTTAGAGGGCTTTGGCTAGACCCGCTGTGGTCTGGAGACAGAATCCTGCTACATCCTCTACCACAGCCTGCAAAAGTCATGTAGCTTTTTTTTAAATCCCTCCTTTCCCCCTCCTCTCCTAACCACGCCCCACAAAAGCTGCCAGCTGCCTCCAGCCGTCCCCTGTGGAGTGGATGGCTGGGTTTTCAGTAGGGAGCAGTCAGTGACAACGAATGAGGCTCTGAGCCTGCCCTGAAGGGGAGGCTGCCAGGAAGAGGAGCTCAGGGGACTCCCCTTGTGACCTGGTGTTTATGCAAGTGTGTGACACTGACACCGGAGGGTGTGACAGCAAGTGACCGGTCCCTGCCACAGGGACACGCAGTGCTAGTAGAGGAAGCTGTATGGTTTCCTTTTGACCTGAGCATCAGGGGGCAAGGGCACCAGCCTCTGCATTAAGACATTACCTCTCTCTTTATCTCTGTCTCTGTCTCCTCTCCTTCCCTCCCCCTTTCTCTCTCTTTTTCTTCCTCTCCCCTCCCTTTCCCTTCCCCCTTTCTCTTTCTCCCTCTCTCCTCTTCCCCCTCCTCTCTCTGTCTCTCTCTGTCTCTCTGTCTCTCTCTGTCTCTGTCTCTCTGTGTGTGTGTCTCTGTCCGTGTCTCACTCTGTGTCTGTGTCTGTCTCTGTGTCTGTCTCTCTCTCTCTCTCCATCACAGTCTACTCCTCGATGGGGCTCCTCCTGCCTCAACCCTTTCACTTTTGCTCAGACACGAGGGAAGAAAAACAAAACACTTCTCCTTTTGCTCTGTCTCAGTTTCCTCCTCCGTGAAATGGGGGCATCTAATGAGGTCAGTGACTCTTGGGTCTGGCTCTACCACAGACTCTTCTGTGTGCTCCTTGTAAACACTGACTCTCCAGGACCATCTCAACCCCCACATGACCCCACGATGACGTCCACAGCTGGCACACGCTCCCATTCAGTGTGTCAGTGCCGCACATGGGGACCTCCGAGGCCATCTTTGGAAAGGGATTTGAAAGACGGCTCTGGTACCCCAGTGTGCCTGTCCTGTCCAGGTCAGAGCTCAGGAGCGATGCAGGACCCTGATGGTCTCCTTCACACTGCCTCTCTCCTGACAGGGCCCACCATCTGTGGACTTCTCAGTTCTCCCGACGTTCTGGTTTGCCACGTCAGTGACTGGAGGGATGACTCTGATACTCAGGCCAATGCTACATGTGCTGGGGTAACATATGACCAGGGGACCCGCCAGATGGCCTTGATGCTGGGAGGCCAACAGTTCCTGCAGGGTAAGCCTCTGCTTCTCACCGTATTTCTAAGTTCCCTTTCCCACCAGCGGAGACTTTGCTAACTTCTTAGGTACAGTTCTGCGTCCTGAGACCTCATACCCCTCTCCAGCTACAAAACTCCCAGGACGTTCCCTCCTCACACGGGCAGCTCATCCTCCAGGCTACGTAGGATCCATTTATAATCCAGAAGGAAATGGCATCCGTGATATTGCACAGAAAATTGTTGGCTGAGTTCAGTGATATCCCAGCAGAAAACGTTCCGTTCATTTAGCTCTCAAATCTGCAGGTTAGTGCGAGCTAAGGTCCCTCGGGAATCTAGCATGCCTGCCTGCTGGCTAACCATCCCTGGGCCAACTGCGGGGCCAGACCTGCTCCTGCTGGCTTTGTCCTCCTCGGGATGAGTGTATTCTTTTCCTGCAGGTGGCAGAAGCAGGACAGGATAAGGGAGCCCAGCACGGCCTCTGGGAGTCCAGACACACTCATCTCTGCCTTATTCTGGTTCATAAACAAACCGCATGGGGAAACCAGAAGCCGAAAGACAGGAAACAGTGTTCCTTTAGTGGGAGGTGTTGCAGTCTCATGTAAAATATCTGAAGATAAGTGAGAGCAGAGGACTACAGTGAGCTGAGGTGGGCGTTCTCCCTGGGAAGTTAAGAGCCTTGGTGTGATATCTAATGCTTGCCCTGCTAATCACATGAGTGCAGGGACAGGCCTGTTACGGGCCGGATGTGCAGTAAGCAGAAAGAACCGCCCAGAGTGGGATATCACCCTCCCCTAGGTTGCTAAAGCATTTCATACTATTCTGTAAGATGTGTAAATGTCAGAGATAGCAGGCCAGGCCCCCAGTCCACAGGGACAGCTGCTGAGTTGCCGAGGGCTCCCTGTGCCAGCCAGACCTCCTTTCTGCCTTCTTGTGTGGCTACCTCTCTTAGCAGGCCCGGGAGAGAGAAAATGGCTTCCTTTTGTGTCCTAACTGGCCCTGCCCAAGAGGCTCAGGAATCTGATTTCTGAGACAGTTCCAATAATGTTTAAAACTGTTGCTGGGAAAAGGGGGGGGCATTGGTGGCACACACCTTTAATCCAGCACTCGGGAAGCAGAGGCAGGTGGATCCTTGTGAGCCCAAGATCAACCTGGTCTATAGAGTTCCAGGACAACACCCTCAAAGCAATACAGAGAAACCCTGTCTCGAAAAACAAACCAACAAAACAAAACCAAAAAGCTGTTGCTGGAAGAGCGGATAGCAATATCATAGTAACAAGATGCTTCACCGGACCGTGAGGCCAGGCAGCAGCAAGGGTGAGACTTGCACATGTGCAGAGGTTCAAGGGATACACTGCCTTGGGAGTGTGCCCATCTTACAGAGGAAGGGAAGTGGGCACGTGGGTGTGAGGCCACTCCCTAAGGAGGCTTTTCCTGAACCAGCCTCCTGGTGTCTCAGCCACCCCAATACTGGCAGGCACACATGGAGAACTTTGGATGATATTATGTCATTTTTTAACTCATGCTGATACCAAGGCCAATATATAATGTATGTTGTTTTGGAGAATTGCATGTGCCTTGATAATCCTTGGACTCGTGACCCTAGAATCCAGTGTAGAAAACACACAGGCTGTCTGGATGGCACACCCAACCAAAGTCTGGAAGTTCACACGCCGGAATCTGGCAGAGCTCCAGGAAGCCTAGGTAGCTTCTTTTGGGGTAAACAGAATCAAACAGCTTATTTGTGGGATGGCTGCCTCACAGATGGTTCCCATTACTCGGACAGGCGCCCAGGGTGAAACGGGCATTTCAGGAAAGGCATGTGACGAACTGGCAGCCGTAAGTCAGTGAGCCACTTAAACCATGACATGTGCTTGGTGTGTGCCCGAAGAGCCCGGAATGTCCCTGGCCTGTGCTCCGTGCAAATGAGTGACAATGAATGGCATTTGAAGGCTTTGCTGTTTGTGCATCTGTGTGTGTGTGCGTGTGTGTGTGCGTGCATGTGTGTGCATGTGCATTTGTGTGTGTGTATGTGTGTATGCATGTGTATGTGCATGTGTGCATGCATATGTGTGTATGCATGTATGCGTATGCATGTGTGTGTGCATATGTGTGTGTGTGTATGTGTGTGTGTGTGTGTGTAGACAACCTTGGGTATCATTCCTTAGGTGTCTTCTATTTTTTGGCTTGAGATAGGGTGTCTTGTTGGCCTGGGGCTTTACTGAGGCGAGGCTAGCTGGCCAGTGAGTTTCCAGGGACCTGCCCTTTTCTTCCTGACGCCTCACTGTCACTGGAATTACAAGTATTCTCCTAGCTTATTGAATGTGTTTTAAGGATTTAATTCAGGTCCTCACATTTGTGAGCCAAGTGATTTATCAACTAAGAAAATCTGTCCAGCTCAGCTTTGGGGTTTTCAATACACTGTGTGTGTGTGTGTGTGTGTGTGTGTGTGTGTGTGTGTGTGTGTGTGTGTGTGTGTGTTTTCTAGGGCTTTCTTACTGAGCTGGGAGCCTTCTGATCAATCTATGTTGTATAAGACAACCTTTGGTTTATAATACCAGGGGCATACCTCAGGCGTCTTCTCAAACAAAAACAGCAAACCCTATCTCCATCAAGGCTCCTTCTCGTTTCACAGTTTCAGGGAGACTGGTTGAATTGTAGAGTTGGCAGAACAATGCATCAGACCCAGTCTCTCCTGCTGTGAAAGAGACGTATGAAGATGGTCCTGGGGACTGCTGAGAGGGTTAAAAGAGGCACAGCAGGAGGCACACAGAGGCGAGGCGTGGTGCTGCACAAGGAATTGTCTGCATTCCAAACTCCCTTGGTTAAACCCCACATTCTCCCAATAGTTCTGTTACCTTCCTCAAGCCCTCAGCTGCCCTGAGCCTCAGGGCGACCCTCTGCAAAGTGTGACCACTTTATATGATCGAACGAAGTGCCAGCATGCTGTCCAGGCAGCAAAAATGGCTTTGCTCTCCAAGTTCCAGCCATCTGGTCAACCCTCACTAGGGCGGATCGTTTGTTTCTCAGCTAGCTGCTGATGTCAGAGTGGAGTCCAGCAAAGCCCTGGGCCTGGGTAAGGCAGGTGTAGATCTGTATTGGGAAGCTGGTGTGGGTAGACTCCCAGGGAAGCTGGTGTGGGTAGACTCCCAGTTGTAGGAAACTTCAGCTCAAAAGAATCCATGGCCTTCAAACAGGAAGCTCACAAAGTCTGCTTTGCATTACTGCTTTCACGACCCTTTGGATCGCCTGCCCAGGCAAACTTGACCCAGATAGCACACTTCAGAACCGAGTGCCTTGTACTGTTCACTAATGCTGTAACTATGGCTCAACTTTTGAACATCCCTCCCCCCCCATGTTTCTGTGTGAACTCCCCACCACGCTCCCTAGGGCCACTTCCTACTAACATGGTACCACAAGTGATTTCCTGAAAGCAGAAATGCTCCCAAGTCACCGGTGGTTATGGCAGCGAAATGCGTTGGCGTCCCTGACAGCTGGGAATTCCTCTTCTCGGGTGTCTCTGCATGGCCTCTCTCCTGGACTCGGTGTGAACGCCAGCTCACAGCAGGTTCTATTTCAAAGATGGCAAAGGAAAGATATTAGAAGGCTGCTGGCTGGAGGAGCAGGGGGGTCAGGAGGGAATAGGGTGGCCAGCTGTAGGTTGGTGGTGGTTTTCACCCGGTATCACCATAGTTCTGTGATGTATCCTTAACAAAAACCCACCAGGCACATGGGAGGCAGGAGGCCAGGTACCGGGTGCAAAGGTTGCAAAGGTTTCCATTGTCAAGGCCCAGGAGTTCCCCAGCTAGCTGGGGTGATAGGTGTGGGCATCAATAAGGCATAGGCCTGCAGTACGGAGTTCTCTTAGACAGGATTGTCGACCTGGCAATGCTCAAGTGCCGCCCCTCTGCTCGGTTGCTAGAAACTAGCTAGGTTCTATCTCAGATCTCTTATCCCATCTACAGCTGATCTCTGTTGCCCACAACCAGAGTCAATACACAAAAAAACACGTCCACCACCGACCCACAGAACACCAAGAGATAATTTGGTATAATCCGAGCCCACAGCAGGTGTACACAGGAGTTTGCCCCTCAGACTATGCTGGATGTCTGCTTAGACTCTGTCTGACACTGAACAGGGGAAACACTTACCACCAAGAGAGTGTGAGAATCCTATCTTTATCCAGTGTGGCATCAGGGAAGGAGAACTTTCCAGAAAAGAGAGGGGACTAGCTGGGGTAGTGAAAAGGAAGAGATACGGGAAAGAGAGGATATGAGGCATTATCACAGTCAGACCAGATGACAAACGCCTATGAAAATGTCTTTATGGTGATATATAATACAACGAATACATGTCAATAGAAATTTTTAGAGAATAGTTAAATACATTAACAATAAACTAAAAAAGAGACGCTGCCAATGACTGAACATGTATGAGATGTGAAGGATCTAGAAGGTAAACTTCTGTAGAGTTTTGCAATCATTCAGTTGACAGCCTCAGCTAGATTTTACAGTTAATTGTTCCGTGTGTTTGGTGTGTGTGTGTGTACACGCACGCGTGTGTAAGAGTATGCATGCACGTATATATTTATAACACACATGCTATCATATGTGTATGAAGTTATAGGACAACTTGACCAGGTTAGTTCTCTCCTCCCATGTTGGGTCTGGGGATAAAACTCAGGACATCAGCCTTGGTGGCACATGGCCTTACCCCATCCTGCTGACCCAGCGTCATTAAGGAGCTCAGGATCTCAGCAGTGTTTGCTGTCAGGAAATGCCCACAATGGGGCCTTGTTTTCATTAAGCCATCCCTCCACTGCCTTGGTCAGGCTCCTATGCTGTAGACTTGTGGCCCTCCCCCCATTAATCTGTTTGGTTCCCTGAGCTGCATTCCTGGAGTCTAACCAGCACTGGTTTTGCACCCAAGGGTTGGAATGGTGCTCCACGAGGCCTTGACAGATCCCGTGGAGAGAACAGAGTGAAGCCAGGAAAATCTTAGGGGGGCGATGGGACAGTTGTTAAGGAGGGTGACCAGTGAGAGCAAGCACCGATGGCTCATCAAGTGACAATCTCCTGCAGGTCTGACACTCTCAGAGGGCACCCAAGAAGCTGCCGCCAGCTTCCAGCAGGTTTACCTCTGGAAAGGTGAGCTCCGAGGTGGGGAGGCAGGGGTGACAGAACAGTGGCTTCCTGAATTTGGCCCCAGTTTGTAGCCACAAGGTACCCTAATCCCAGTGGGAAACAAAATGCAGACCTGTGTTCTGTGGGCTTGTTTCCCGTGGAGTAGAAGGCTCCCCCTCTTCATCGGAGGAGACTCACCATCTAAAAGAAAGCCTAGTGGAAAGCCTCCAGCGGATGGAGAAGGCAGGAAATGCTCCGTCTGGGGAGGTGGCTTTCACTGCTGCCGGGTGCCTTTATCATCAGAGTGGGCTGCTTGTAGACGTCAGCACACATTTGCCCAGGGAACTTGGCCCCATGTGCCTCTCTTCCTGGGGCTTGGGGAAATGGAATGTGACCCTGGTGATCGATGCTATGGATTTAGTTAAACTCTAAAATCCTGCCTTGCCTGCTGACCCTCTAAGGGTGTTGGGATGAGTTCCTTCCCCTCACTGAGTCCTTATTTCTTGAAGGTTGCATGTCAGCCTTCTTCACAGCCTTCAAGGGTGTGGTAACATTTATGGGCATTTTTAAATGGTGTTAGTAGCTACAATGCTACAGTCTAGTTCTAGCCCCGAGAGAGTGCCAGTGTTGGGTCAGGACCAAGCCTGCTCACCTGGTTGGCAGATCTGGCCCTGACTCCTGTAGAGTCCCTGGTTGTGGGAAGTGAGGGTTGCTGAGTGGCTGCCCCATCATTGCCAGTGATCTTTCTTTCTTCTTCTAGATTCTGACGTGGGCTCTCGGCCTGAGTCTATGGGATGTGAACGGGACATGGTACCGAAGTTAGACTCCCCAGCAGAAGCAGGTATTGACTCTAAAGACTTTATACAGTTGAGTGCTACCCATGAAGACAAGATAGTGACATCCAAGGTCTAATCAACACATGGGCCTCTTGTTGTTCCTCCATTCTGAAGCCTTGGGGCCATGGTCCCCAACTGTTCTAATGCTGCAACTCTATAACACAATTCCTCATGTGTGGTGACCCCCAACCATAAAATTATCTTGCTGATACTTCATAGCTGTAGTTTTGCTACTGTTATGAACCATGATGCAAATATCTGATATGCAGGATATCTAATATGTGACCCAAGGAGGTCGTGACTCACAGGTTGAGAGCCACTCACAAATACAGAGACTCCTGATGTGGGCGGTAAGAACAGAGTGTAGGGAGGCTTCATTGTCCATTCCCAATGCTGCAGAAACAGAAGCAAACGTGGAGGCTTCATTGTCAATTCCCAGTGCTGCAGAAACGTCCCTATGTGTGAGAAAATGTCAACCCTATCAAAATGAGGCGCCTGTAAGGAGTGACAGCAGGCAGGGACGAGTTAATCCAGACGTGGATTCGGGTTGTGCCTGCGGAAGGTGTGAGGACACCTTGCCTCCAGGCCCTGTCGTTTTACTCTAAGGTGGCTCTAAGAGCCAGGGAGAATTGAGCAAGAGAGAAGCAGAGAGAGATGGGGGGAAGTCTGGGGGCAAAAGGAGGGTGTCTTACCCCTCAGTGTTGCTGTAACGACCTTCCAGACTAGGTAACTTATAATGAAGACTGTGTGTCTGGCTGTTTACTTGGAAGGCTGGCAAATCCAGAATTGCAAAGCTGTATCTGGTAAGGGCCTTGCACTGGGCAATAGCATAATAGAAGGCATCAAAATGTCCCATAGAGCAAGAGGGAACCCAGCCTGCTTTTGTAGCCCACTCTTGCCATACAACAACCTGACCACTATGCGTTAGATTCAGAGACAAAATTCCAGTGTGACGTAGCAAACACGAGTGTGGCTGCTGAGAGTTTCAGGAAGAGAAATCTGGTGATGTGGCTGCTGTGATTGGCTCAGTTATGCTACATGAGGCCACCAGGCACTGACAGAAACCTCAGGGGGAAGAAAGGTGGACCTGGGGCCTCCTAAGGTTTCTTCCAAACCCAACTTCTGGGTGTCTCAAGTGCATGATTTTTACGATGTCCTAAGACCTTCTGAACCCCCTTTGTCTGACCACATCCCTGCTCTGGCCTTAGATCACCTAACAGTGTTTTTTGTATCTACCTCTGATCTGTCCCCAAGTTCTGCTTCTCTCTGTTTCACACTTGCTGAGGAGAGAAAGGTAAAGGAGGCTGGCCCTCTCCTTCTCTTTCAGATGCGGCAACAGAACTTTTCCTCACTCTGGACACTACCCAGGTCATTGTCAACGCAAGCCACTCACTGCCCAGCAAGCAGTACTGGCTCTTCACACATCTGTTTTCAGCAGAGCAGGCGAGCCTGTGGTGCCTTACTCGTGAGTATCCTTAGAGGGGAGCCTTCTTCCAGACCTTGCGTCAACGACTCCTGAGATGTAGACATGTTCAGAATCATCGACCTAAGTTAGGGGTCACTACATTCTTAGTACAACTAGGGGTCTTTGTTGCAGAACACTCCTTTACGCTGTATGAAGATATGTCACTGTGATTGGTTAACAAAGAGCTGAATGACTAATAGCTAGGCAGGAATTGGTTAGGCAGGACATCCCGGGACAGAGAAGACTTGCAGAGGAACAGTAGGAAAACAGGTAGAGTAGCCAGCCAGACACAGAAGAAGCAAGGTATACAGGAGGAGATATAAAAGCTGTAAGCCATGCAATAGCATGTAGATTAATAGAAATGGGTTAATTTAAGTTGTGAGAGCTAGTTAGAAAAAAGGTCTAAGCTATAGACTGAGCTTTCATAATTAATAATAAGTCTCCATGTCAGGTTTTGTGAACTGGTGGTCCAAAGAAAAAATCTGACCATAGTGTTTTGTCCTAACCTTCAAAAAGCTCACAGTGAAGGTAGTATCTGCTCAGCAACCAGAACCTATCATCCACCCATCCACCCACCCATCCACCCATCCACCCACCCATCTGCCCATCCATCCACCCACCCACCCATCCATCCATCCACCCACCCATCCACCCACCCATCCACCCATCCACCCATCCACCCACCCGCCCACCCACCCGCCCATCCACCCATCCATCCACCCACCCACCCACCCACCCATCCGCCCATCCATCCAACCACCCACCCATCCATCCATCCACCCACCCACCCACCCATCTGCCCATCTATCTACCCACCCACCCACCCATCTGCCCATCCATCCAACCACCCACCCACCCATCCACCCACCCACCCACCCATCTGCCCATCTATCCAACCATCCACTCACCCATCCATCCATCCATCCATCCATCCATCCATCCATCCAATGTTGAATATTCATTATATTTTAGGACTTACATTTGACTTTGTAGATGAAAACCACAGCAGAATCAGGTATGATCTTTTCCTTCAAGTAGTTCACATGTGTCTTTGGCAAGACTGGATCTCTGGTCTTCTGACTGTGCTTCTGATAGACCACGGGTAAAACCACCGAGCTTTCATGCTGTTGTCTCCTGCATATTTTACTTTGCCTCTGCCTGTACGTGGACCACAATATCCCCTGCTTCCCCACTTCATAGATCCCCGGTGTTTTTGTTTAAACCTTGGTGACTATCACGGGTATGCTATTATTTTGTCAGCTTGACACAAGTTAGGGTCACCTATGAAAAGGGAACCTCAATGAAAAAAATGCCTCCATCAGATTGGTTGGTAGACAAGTCTATGAGATGTTTTCTTGATTAATGATGGATGTGGGAGGACCCAGCCCATTGTTGGTGGTGCCATCTCTGGGCAGGTGGTCCTGGTTGTATAAGCCATTAAGCCACACCCCTCATGGCCTGTGCATCAGCTTCTGACTTGAGTTCCCCTCATGATACACAGTAAGGCTACCAGGTGAAGTAAACCCTTTCTTCCCCAGGTCACTTGTAGTTATGGTGTTTATCACGCAATAGAAAGTAAACCAAAGCACTCTGCTGGGAAAGATTCCCCAGGTGAGTCTGCCTGCTGAAGACCTTGCATGGACTAAACACCAGCTGCCTTCTTGCCTTTAGGGTGTGCCCAGGAGCCCACTTTCTGTCGACTCGCAGACATAACAGAGACTGCACCTTTGTATTTCACCTGCTCCCTCTACCCAGAAGCCCAGGTCTGCGACAATGTCCTGGAATCTAATGCCAGGAACTGTAGCCAGGTTCTGCCCCGCCAACCAATGGCCCTCTTCCGGAAGAAAGGTAAGCATGGTTGTCTTCATGAGCTGGGTATCTGATTGGCCACCACTCTATGGGTTCAGAAACAGTGAGAGTAATTTATTTTTCTCTTTGAAAGTAATATCCTTGGTGCACACATGCACACACAGACACACACGCACACACAAACAGTTACAGAAAAAAGAGATCAGAATTTTTTAAAGAGAGCCAAGAGGGATGCATGGATGTGATTGGAAGAAGGAAGTGGAAGGGAAAATTATGTAATTACATTATAATCTCAAAAACAAATATGTTTATGTAATATAGATAACGTGTAATGTATACATACATACACAAACATGTGTGTGTGTGTGTGTGTGTGTGTGTGTATGTAAGATTATCCATGGTCTTTCAGAGATGTGAAGGCATTGAGAAGGGCCTTAGGCTGACACTTTAGAGTGGTCTGTTCTGGGGTCTCACCTCAGGCAGAGCCACCCCTGATGGACTTTCACCAGGATTTCATCATGCAACTGCATGGTACAGAAATCTCTGAAACAGCGACTCTTACAAAACCACAGTTTTTCTCTCACTTCAAGGATGTTGATGTCACTTTTGTCATCATGATGGTGATGTCATTTTTGTCACCCAGCTTCCCCCAGTAATTTCTTCCTCCATATTCTTTGCCAAGGCCCTTCCTTTATCTGGAGGCCCTTGGTTTCCCCTCAAGCATCAGAGGCTGTAAGGCTGCTCTGACTATTGGTGGGAGCTTCTTGGCTGTGGGTTTATGCTTAGTATAATTGGATCCAGTCGCTGTTGGTGAGATTTTTTTCATTAGTACTCCTAGACGCCCTGTCAGAGGAATCTCACAGTACTTGAGTACACACACTAGCGAGGTGGGAGAGATTTGAGTCTCTGGGAAACCTAAATCATGCTCTCAAATTCACTACATTCAGGGACCCCAAGGGAGACTCTCATCCATCTTTGCCCTTGTGGGAAGGGCACTTAGGCTATCCTTTCCCCCTGGAAAGCACATGCTCACTTCTTGTTGCTTCCTGGCAGTGGGGGGCAGAACCTGCCTTCCTCGTCTCCGGAGCCAAGGTTCATACCTCCATGGGCTTCCTAGATCCTGAGATTGTACTGTTCCATCTCTCTCTAATTCCCATTTCCCCATGGGCTCAGGCCTTTACAAGAGTCCCCTGCACCTACTGGTGATTCAAATTTGTAATTCTAAAGCTTGAGAGATGGAGGCAGGAGGTCAGAAGTTCAAAGACATCCTTGGCTACACATCAAATTCAAGGTTAACTTGGACTACACAAGAGCCTATCTCAAAAACCAACCAACCAAACAGAATCTTCTGAGTCTTATTCTAGTGAGATTTGGGGACACATGTCTTAGTTTAATGTGCTGTCTTCCTGGAAGTTCAGTCTGGGTTTTACTCATCATCCCAATTTTTGCAAAAGTATAATAAATTTTATTTATTTTCCCTCTGTGCAGTTGTGCTGAATGAACGAGTGAAGAACTTTTATACTCGCCTGCCATTCCAAAAGCTCATGGGGATTTCCATCAGAGACAAAATTCCTATGTCTGGGAAGCCCATTTCCAATGGGTAAGTGGCCAAGTTCTACCTCAACACTTATTATTAAGATGCCTTGGCTTCCTTGAAAAGATGATGCCTCAGCCTTCAAAGGCAGAAGCATAGCAATGATCCAACCCAAAGCTAAGGGTACAGGAGATCACCAGATCAGAAATCCTTGATGAAGAAAAATGACACATGAGATACCACATCCAGCTCTGAGCCTGTGGTCGGCTGAGGGAGATCAGACGTGCTGAGCCGTCTTGTCAGTTAATAAAAGTGCTGGAGACGGTAATAGATTTGTTCCTCGGAGCCTTCCGGTGCTGTGTTCCGGGTCTGGAAAGCACGCAGAATTTTTCACAGACCCTTAGCTTAGAGGAATGCATCACTTATTGCCTCTACAACCTATGCTGTTGTTTCTTCATTGGCTTTTCTGGTGGTCTTATAAATGAAGAAGAACCTCCTTCCTCTCCTCGCGCTCCATGGGGCCTCACTCTTCAGAACCTCTAACCACATTCCTGGGCCCTCCCCAGACCTCCTGAATTTGAGGTCCTGGGATGGAACTCAAGAGTCAGAAGGTTAGGGAAAAACTCCAGTGAGGTCTTTTGCATTTCAGTAGTCACTGATCCGCGAGCTGCAAATCTGTGAAGTGCTCTTGAATTACGGGATTGCGTCATGTTGCTGGCATTGAAGAGTTATTTCTGAGAGTGGAGCTCAAACAATGACACTGGCTGGTTTGTCTTGCGATCCAGCTGGACATCACTTTACTAGGGGAGGGGATAGGGGCTAAATGTCACCCTACCGGGAGACAGGACAGAAAGCAGATATCTCTTGGTTGGACGTCACCATGCTGAGCCTGGTACTCGGACAGAAAGTGGTTGGGCATAGCTTGAGGTCATAGTTCAGGCTGGAGTTTAACAGTGGTCTCTCCAAAAGAGAGGGAAGCAACAGGTAGGCAGGGGATGAGCTGGGCAGGAATCTAGAGCAGTCAAAGCCAGAGAGATGACTTCAGTTTCAGGGAAGACATGTAGCCTGCACCTGAGAAGCTGCCCAGCAGACACAGGTTTCAACACTGTCATAAGACGTGGATTCAGGCAAGAATGAGGCAGATCCCCATGTCAGAAAGGACCAGGTGATTAAGCAAGCTCTCAGGAGATGGGAGTGAGTGATCAGATCAAGATATGGGATCAAGACAAAGCATCTTAGAACTGAACGCCAGAGCTAGAGCCCTCCTGCCTCGAAGCTGCAGGTGGGGTCCTGTAGCTATAGTAGGTGGAAAAGCAAGGGTGGTCCTGGAGAGGGCCTGAAGGGTCAATAAGTGGAGGACCTGAAGACAATGTTCTGGAGAGAGAGGAGTGGGATTTTGTTTACAGGAATCTAGAACGCCAGCGTCGTCCAGAAGACCCACACTTTATGGGCTTATAAAGAAATCTGATCCCCAAAGTTTTGAGTGATTCCAGTCAGTCTTCACAGTAGGTCCTGGAGGCTTCAGACATGTCTTCTCCTCTGACTCTAGGTTCTTTGAATGCGAGAGGCTCTGTGACAGGGACCCGTGCTGCACTGGCTTTGGTTTTCTAAATGTCTCCCAGCTACAAGGTAAGGGTAACAAGGGAGGCATCCCCCGCCACCTGGCATGTCACTCACAATCCGGTATGGTCCCTAGCATCTCCTCAGGGCAGGGAGGATGCGTGGACCTCGTGTAATAGGGATATGGGACTGGGAGAAGCAGGTGGCTCATCAGTATGATATTAGCGGTGTGCTTGTCCTGGTCCGTGGTCTGATGATCACACACACACACACACACACACACACGCACACACACGTACACACGCACACACACGCGCGCACACGTACACACGCGCACACACACGCGCGCGCACGTACACACGCGCACACACGCGCACACACACGCACACACGTGCACACGCGCGCGCGCGCACACGCACACACACACGTACACACGCGCGCACACGCACACACGCGCGCACACGCACGCACACACACGTGCACACACGCACACACACACACGCATGCGCACATACACACACACACACACACGCCTGTGTGGCCCCAGATCTATGTCCCGCCTTGTCCCCACACTTTGCTTGCCTGTCTCCAGCTGTGCTCTCAGAGCTCTGTCCAGGCAGCATGGTTGGCTGAACTTTGGATGCATCCCATGATTTCTATTGGGTAGGTGCCCATCACTTACCGACGGCGTGGTTCTGGTCAGTCTGCTTATAAATCTCTCCAGGGCTCAGCATCCTCATCTGTAAATGAAAACACACATTGGTTTCCTCTCCAGGCCCAGTGAAGCGATACCCATAGAGCTAGCTCACCTCTTATGCATAAAGGGCAGGTGTTCCGTTAGGAGCAGCCACCTCCATTCCTGGACTCACGGGATATAAGTCTTAAGCAGAGGGGATTAGTAGGGATGGCCAAGTCCCTGCCTGGAACACAGAACAAAAGCCCAAGTATCTGCTGAGCAAAGGCTTGCAGATCCCCTCCCTGGCTCTTCTTCCTGACCTCCCGGGTTCTCCACCAGGAGGAGAGGTGGCCTGCCTGACTCTGAACAGCATGGGGATTCACACATGCACTGAGGAGAACCGAGCTGCCTGGCGCATTCTGGACTGTGGCTCTGAGGACACCGAAGTCTACACCTATCCCTTTGGGTGGTACCAGAAGCCTGGTGAGTACCCTGCACCTGATGACATCTGTGCCGTGTAGACTGACCCCCAGTCCTGCATTAGGATGACATGCATCTTAGGATCAGGAAGATCAGTCAGAATTCACTGGGTACCAGTGGCAGGGACGGATCCTGTCTAAGAAGAAAAGGCACGCCTTGGAGACTGCTCATTAACCAAAAGGAACGGTGACCAGCTAGATGTCAGGAAAGATGGAACCAGACCAGGCTCCACGGGCATGCTTACCCAGTGACTACAGCCAACTTGTTCAGTGTGCTACTCCTCTCGGATCGCTTTGGGGGGGAGGGGCTGCTCACCATATCCCACAGAAGCTCTGAGCTCAGGGTCAGGTTGCCCAGAATGTTCTACGAGTACCCACACTGCTGAAGGGACAGCTTGGATGAAAGTCTCAGCGAATCCAGAACTACTGGAAGGAAGGAGGCTAAGATCCAGTCACTGGACAGGCAGCGAAGTCAACCATTGTCCGCTGTGCCATGATCCCTCTATTTCCATACTGTTTCAGTCCTTGTCCTGAGTCAGGATGACGTAATATGTGGCCGTGTCGGGGAAGGGAGGGGCAGCCTGTGTGTGTTTTTATGCACTTGCGTTAAGGTTTCAGGAACAGACAGCCTGAGCCCTGTGTGGTTCACGAAGGCAAGCAGTTGCAGCGCCTCAGACTCATTTCCACAAGAACAACCTGAAACCAAAGAAGGAAAGAGGGAATGCTTTCGTGTGAGTTTAGACGTAACCAGACTCACATGAGAGGTTAGCACCTTCCCTCCATCTGGACAGGCTGGTCTTCGTAAGACTCATACCACCCCTTAGATTCTGTCAGACGGACAAGCGGTTGAGGCTCCGGTTCTGGGTGTCTATGGGGTGCGCGGGAACTAGAAGGGACTCTCCATCTGATTGTGTCCCAGGAATTGACTCCGGAACACGTCCCAGATGAAAAGACTGTCTTGGGGAGGCTGAGGAGAGGATCACTGTCCCCAGCCTGTCCCGTGGGTGGCTCACTCCCAGCTGTGAGTGAATGTGGACAGTGCTGGCCGCTGTTGACACTCCCCTAGACACTAGAGTCAGTGACGCTGGCGTAACAGGAGGCTTACCGAAGAGGCACTTGGGTCTCCGCAGTCTTCCTGCGGTAACCCACCATTTCTCTACCTAGCCCGGGCAATGAGGGGAAACGGGCATTCTTCCATGCTTGCCGTGCGCCAGACACACAGTAGGTCTGTATGAGCCTCATGGGAGCTCAGTGGAGTGGACGTCACCTCCTCAATATCCACATGCAACAAATGAGGCCAACGGTGAAAGATGCTGGCCCAGCCACGTGGCTGTTAAGAAGCAGCCAAGTTGAAACCCCGGGTCTGATCACCTCTGATTCCTCTGTCCTCTTTTGGGTAATTCCTGGCAGGCTTCCTAGTGAGTGGTTCTTAAAATCTCCAGACGCCTTGTCTGACTGGCTTCCCCCCCCCCCAAGTCTCGTAACTTACAAGCTGCTAACTAACCAGCTGTGAAAGGCTAACACGGTGTCAGACCAGCTGCTCCGGGAGTAGTCTCTCTAGTCTAGGCCACAGTGTTGTTTGCGGGGGAGAGACACCCTTGGCCTTTCAGCTTTGTGGCAGCTAGCACTGCCAGGCTGGAAGGCGTCTTCCTGCTGGTGGCTATCTGCTGCGCCCTGTGTCTTGATTTGAAGTCGATCTGTTGGATTTTTCTTTCAACAGCTTGAATTGTTTTAGGGGAAAAAAAATGGGAGTTATCTAACGAAATTGCTTCTGTGGGCTTATATCCCAAGGGATTTTTCCAGAGAGGTCTCTAGGCTTTACCTTGAGGGCCAGAGAGGACAGGGGCACCTCGCCTAATGCGTTAGATCTGAAGGACCCCCGTGGATGGCTGCCAGTCTAACGCAGCGGCGACAGAGCCTCGCTCACCTCGGGGCCTCCTTTCAGTCTGTCCTCTCACCTTCTCACCCCGCCAGCATCTGGAAAATGCCACTTTCCGTTTTCATTTGACGATGGAAGAGTTGGGCAGAAAGAAGCCTAAGCAGTAATTCGTTTGTTTGGAAAGTGATAGAAGTCGTTCCAAGCTGTTTCAACATCTCGGCAGGGCTGGCAAGGACAGGAACTCAAGGTACTCCCGGTTCCAGCAGGTCCCAGCCGCTCCGTTCCTTTTCGTCTGCCTGCCGGGAGTGCTGTGTCTTCCAACACACACCCTGTGGCTCAGAGTTGGGACTCAGGAGTCCTGACCAGAAGCCACATGGCAGAGAATGAGCATTCTTATCAGGGCTGTCACTCAACAGCAGATGCTGCCCACGTGTCGGGAGTGCCCAGCGGCTTCCAGCGTAGCCTCTGTTTGTGAGGCTTGGATGCCAGAGGCCAGTGCTTTGCAAGCATTGTCTCATCATAGCCTCATTCCCCTCAGAGGAGAGGAGCAGGGAGACTCAAGGGTACACAGCAGGTAGAAGACAGGCCAGGGACCCAGCTCATTTTATCTGTTTGCTGGCCTCCAGGAGCTCTCAGTCTTAAAGGGCTAAAAGCCTGTTGCTGGGATTCCCACCTCAGGGCTGGACCCTTTAAAACTTTGCTGGGGATTAAAGGCGGTGGTGGCGCACGCCTTTAATGCCAGCACTCGGGAGGCAGAGGCAGGCGGATCGCTGTGAGTTCAAGGCCAGACTGGACCGACAGCCTCCAAAACAATAGAGAGAAACCCTGTCTCGTAAAAAAACAAAACAAAACAAAACTTTGCTGGGGATTTGCACCCATGTGCTGTGCTGGTCACCGAGGAATTGGAGAAGAACAAAATGTTGCTGTTTTTCCACAAGTACAGCCTAGAGTGAGAGGCCAGAGTGAGCATGCATGAGTAACTGTAGCGTAGCCAGCACGGCCGAGAGGTAGTCTGATTGGAGAAAATATTGGCAAATAAGAAACGAGTTCCGCTGGGAGCCACAACTTTCTGTTGTAGGAATGAAATGGGTCCCCTCCCTATGTCTCCTAGGCCCCCATCACAGAGCTGCCTGCACAGGCAGGCTAAGCAGTACCTGCCCTCATTGTCTGAGCACAATCGGGAGGAAAGAAAGCTTATTCCAATGGCGTCAGCCTCTTATCTCCCATCTGCGGCTCTGATATGAATCGCCTTGGAGCATATATGGGTGGGACACTCATGTTTTAGGACAAAAAGAAGGCCGGCTGCGAGAGGACACATTGACAGGGTCCACTACAACTCTCCAGGGTAGGGTGATGGCTTTGTCTTTAAGACGTTTTCTTCAGAGAGGTGTGGGCACGTTTTAAGACCGTAGGATCTTTGCTTCCCAAGATCTAGATGGGGAAAGTAAGCCTTACATAAGAAGCCTGGCTGAATAATGTCCCCCTTCTCTCAGATGACTGTCCAGACCAGCCAAACCCAATCTCTTGACTCGTGCTGTGTTTGCGAAATGTTCTCGGGCTCTGCCCTGTGCATTCATTTTCTGGGTGCTGCCCAGTTTCTCTGACTATGCAGACGCCACAGCCGTGCTCTTCCATCCCTTGTCTCCATAGCGACGGGTGACATAGTTGAGCAGAGAGGGATCTGTCCAGGGCTCGGGAGGTGCCACACACAGCAGCTGCACTGAGCCCGACCCCTGAAGGATAGTCAGTCCTGGCTCCTCTCAGGCAGCCCCTGTGCAACAGGCATCTGTTCACGGAGAACTGACGGGGAGAAGCTGTAGGAGACTTTGGCCTCGCTGCAATCTCAGAGGGAAACGGCCGTTCCTAAGCACTGGCTGCCCCGTCGGTGTGACTCTGAGCCTGCATACAGCATTGGTGCTTTACCTGCGAGGAGCGTTCCTGTCCTGTCCCCCACCCCAGCCCCCAGAGCATGTGTGTTCCCTGACTGGAGAATTATATCACACGATGTGACAGTTGTTACTGTGGTGTGTCCCCTGGATGAAGAGGTGTGTGTAGCAGAGTTTAAACGGGGAGGGAGAAGGACTCTTTTACAGGTGTTACATCGAGAAAGACTTTGGGGAAGAATGAGTCTGAGACAAAGGGTAGGGAGCAGAGAAGCGGAGGGGAGACAAGGGAGGCATATTCCCACCTCACACACCTCGCAGCCTCGGCAAAGAGGGCGGCACATCAGCCGTTGCAGCCTGGCTTTTTTTTTTTACTCTGGCTGTGCTCACAGACGACACAACAAAGCCAAGTCCTTAAGTGTCCCGGAAAACGAATTACACACCAAGAGCACAGAAGCATCAAAGGGAGGTCCTCACAGATCCTGTGGAAGCAGCTTCCTGATGCTGCCATTCTCCAGTTCATGCCAAGTCTGATGTGTCTTAACACAGACATGAAGATGCCCTGGCCAGAAAGGAAATATTCTTAGTGTCCGGAGGACCAGGACACAGGGGCCTCTTGGTCTGCAGTATACTAAGCCCAGGGCTTCCTGCATAGGTGGGGACAGGCTCTGGTGCCCCTTGCATTTTCAGGAAGACAGGGTCACCCCTCCTGTTTGTGCGTGCACCACATGGGATTCAGTGGGGTGGCACTTGGCTTTGCTCATGGAGTCCGATGTGTCTTCTGGAAATGACAACCACAGCTCTGTGTCCTCTCTTCTGATAGGCAAGGGCCCTCAAAACCTGTTGAAGTTCTACACGCAAAGCAGACATAAGGAAGGGGTGGGTGACCTAGTTATCGTAGGGACCCATGCAGATGGTGCTGCATTCGCAGAGCAGTTACTGTATCCCTCATCCTCACACCCATCACACCAACACGCTCACGCTTACCAAGCACTGTGCGCTCCTACCATTGGCTGGCAGCCAGAGTTCCCTCGCTCACCATGGCGCCTTCTCGCTTCTCACAAGCCAATGAGGTAAGGCTGGTTCTGTTTCTTAAACCCAGCCAAGATGTGAGACTCCCCACCCCCCAACCCCCCCATCCCCGTCTGTAGCCAGGATCCCAATTCTCTAGATATAAACTGGGTGTTTACGGACCCAGTCTATGGATTCTTTTAGTTCTGACATTAAACACATGAAGTCAGAACTTGGAACCTGTGCAAAGGGAGCCAACCCCACACGCTTCCCCCATATGAGGCCAGGACCTTCTGTTCTTCCAAGCAACTGACTCTAAGTTGAGAATTTCCATGTCCCTCTCCTGGTGTTCAATAGTTTGCCAAACTAGCTCAAGGGATGCAGAGAAACTACTAGCTACTATTTGTACTTAACTAGGTTCAACTGGGATTGGGATCGGGTGTAGTTCAGAAATGGAGTGCTTCTCTGGGGTATGTGACACCCAGGGTCCCATACCCACCAAGGCCAAGCAACAAAACCAACCCCCTACAACTCAGTTCTAGCCACATGGAAGAGATGTGGAGGACAAGGTGGGAAGCGGGAATAAGGGGCTCCCCACCCTGGCCATGTGCACACCTTCCCAAACCCAGTAGCCAAGGGGCTTCTCTGAGGCCATACGGAGCAGATGCCACCAACCACATCGTTGGTCACTGGCGCTCAGACTTGAAACCCAGCCCCTTTGCTCCCCCTGGAGGTCAGATGTTGGGTTTCCAACACTTTGATCTTAGCCTTTGTGGCAACTAAGTCCTGTCTGGAAGCTATGAAGGCTCCCAGCCATGAGCTCAGTCACTGAGACACTGAAGCATGCCCTCCTCAGTCCCGAGCTCCCAAGGGGTCCAAGGAAGAAGACAATAAGATAAACTATTCTTCGGTTCTCTTGTCCTTCAGGAAATGCCACAGACCTGAGGAACTCTTTGCTAGGGAATAGGAAACATCCCCGATGCCCAGCTCTTACTACATGCCAGGGTCATAAACGCTTGCTGTGTTACCGGAGGTCATTATTCAAACCAACCGTGGTGTGTTTCATGCCGCTAGATAGCTGCTGTAGGCAGACCTAGGAAGCAGTATATGTAAATGGCTGCTGGGAGCTTTGTCTCCATTGAGAGTCCTCGGTTCAGATGTTTCTATTGTCCCTAGCTTACTGTAAGATGCTCCCACATCCAGAGCTTTCTGTGTGTGTCTAGATCACAGTGCCCAGACTGTTCCCTAACGACTGTACTCTTGGGTTCCCTATCCTAACCTGGGAAGGGAAGACGTGTGGTACACCAGGAAGGGACAACAACGCAGGGTGACTGACTGGAGTCTGTGGTGCGTTCCATATGGGTGAACAGGGCCTCAGCTTACAGGTTGGCATGTGGGAACCTATTGAAAAGTCAAGTCTGTTTAAGTTGTTGGAAGGAGGAAGAAGGAGGAGGCTTTGGAGCTCTGGATTTGTTCATTGAAGGGAGAGGAAGGGAAGCTAATTTACCATTTCTGTGTCACCTACGTGGTACGTGGTTTCTCACTGGCTTCTGAAGTCATCTTCACTATGCAAACACCAAGGCCAGGCATCAAAAGTCGATGACCTGTCCCTCTGCCCTGCTTCTCTGTGATGTATCATGTTCAAAGCCAGGCCTGGCTTTCCCCAGAGTTCAGGTTTCTCCATATACATAACGTGTTTTCATCCCGGCTCCTTCCTGAGCTTCTGTACCTTGTTCTGTGGCTATACATAAAGTGCTTTTCATCCCGGCTCCTTCCTGAGCTTCTGTACCTTGTTCTGTGGTGAATATTACACCTTGGCTTGCCCTGTAGACCCACGGTGACCTTGGTAGTAGGTAGCGAAAACTGAGGCATGGGATGCTTTGCCCACGTTAGCAGATTCAGGGGTCACAGAGGCAGGCATTTGTGTGGTGCAGCCAGTGACAACGACATGTGAGTGGATAAGGCTTGTCCCTCCTGGGTGGAGCAGAAAAGCAGTGTTGAAGTGGACTGTAGCCTTTTCACCCTGTGTGCTGGTAACTGTGACGTGTGTTCAGATGGAGCCTTCCTGGGCCAGAGTCATGAGAGAGGAAGTCAGCATGGAGCCCCTCCCCTGGCTCATTCTAACCTGCGTGGTCCTCTGGTCTCCATCACTATTCTGGAGCTCTGCTGCTGTCTCCATGGCTACAACAATGCCCTGGACTCTGCTGCTGTCTCCATGGCTACAGCACTGGCCTGGACTCTGCAGCTGTCTCCATGGCTACAGCACTGGCCTGGACTCTGCTGCCGTCTCCATGGCTACAACAATGCCCTGGACTCTGCTCCTGTCTCTACGGCTACAACACTGTCCAGAATCTCTGCTGCTGTCTCCATGGCTACAGCACTGCCCTGGACTCAGCTGCTGTCTCCATGGTTGTAACACTGTCCTGGACTCTGCTGCTGTCTCCATGGCTACAGCACTGTCCTGGACTCTGCTGCTGTCTCCATGGCTACAACAATGCCCTGGACTCTGCTGCTGTCTCCATGGCTACAGCACTGCCCTGGACTCTGCTGCTGTCTCCATGGCTATAACACTGACCTGGACTCTGCTGCTGTCTCCATGGCTACAACACTGCCCTGGACTCTGCTGCTGTCTCCATGGCTATAACACTGACCTGGACTCTGCTGCTGTCTCCATGGCTACAACACTGCCCTGGACTCTGCTGCTGTCTCCATGGCTACAGCACTGCCCTGGACTCTGCTGCTGTCTCCATGGTTATAACACTGCCCTGGACTCTGCTGCTGTCTCCATGGCTACAGCACTGCCCTGGACTCTGCTGCTGTCTCCATGGCTACAGCACTGCCCTGGACTCTGCTGCTGTCTCCATGGCTATAACACTGTCTTTGTTTCTTTTCAGCTTTGCAGAGTGGTATCCCCAGCTTCTGCCCTTCTGCTGCCCTGCCATCCCTCACCGAGGAAAAGGGTAAGTTCATTGTCAGTCTGATCGTTCTCGGGAGAAATATCATCTTCATTCTCTTCTTATCCTTTGCTTTTGAGCAGTGGCTTGGGTCGATGAGACATGATGCTGTTATGTCATGAATATTAGACTCTGTGAACCAAACACATTTAGGTAGACTGGATACCAGCCATGCCCCCTTTCCTCCGATATAAATGACAGGAGTACACACATAGCAGGACCACACGGGGCTTGTGCCTGGTGCTTTCCTTGTCCTGTCTGACAACGTGTCACCCTCCCAGACACAGACTAGACTCATACAGTCTGACACGAGGTCAGGACAGTGCTGTCGTGGTCTCAAAGTGAAAAGGCAGTTGCTTGTGGGGGGCAAGTCACCTGGAGCTTGCAGTCACCGTACAGAGGTACAGAAGACACTGAAGCTATCCCCATACCCAGGAGTTCAATCAAGACTGAGCTCACCCGTCTGTCCTCCTGCTCGGCTGCAACATGCTCCAAGGGGCTGAAAGGCAGCATGGGAACTCAGGAGCATGGGGGCTGGGGCTGCTCTGTGCTCTGGGGTGAGGTGAAGGGGTCTGGCCAATGTGGGGTAAGCCGTCTGCACTGTGTTTCTCCCTAGTAGATGCACATACTAGGTTCCAGGTGCCACTCAGCTAAGAGCCCATCTTCCATTAACTACTGACCTGTGGCATGGTGCTTGACAGGTTTGAGATGCCTATCATTATGTCCCTAACTGAGGAGCTAAATTATAAGTCACCTACAAGGGTTATTTGACACCAAGGCTATGGATGAATCATAAAAATGTCAGCCTGTGTCTCCCAGTCTGCTTCTCGGAGTGAAAGCAGCTGACTGAAAATCACACAGCATGCACATAGAGACTTTCTCCCTTAGCGTCCTGTATTGAGTGGCTGCTACACACTCGATCGGTGCCAGTCCCCTGAAGTACAGTGAGGAAGGTGTCATTATCGGCATGTCATAGATGGTAGAGCTGTAGCTTAGATCTGATGTCGTAGATGGTAGAGCTGTAGCTTAGATCTGATGACACCTAAGTCCTCACTGAAGATCCATGTCTGGACCAAAATTTATTTTGAACTGTATCAGGTTAATACATAAACATGGTTGGGGTAGTCAAAGTGCCCCCAAAGATTTGTGGTTTAGGAGCAGTCCAAGTGATCCAAAGATACATAGATTCATACATGCGTGCACACATGTGTGTGCACACACACAATCTATACCTCCTCTGTTCTCCTTGCCTTTCCTGTGCTGGAGGCCACCACTTTGAACTCTGTGACTCTCTGTTCTTACTCTTGTCTCTGCGTTTCTGTTACACACAGATCCCACTGCGGCTTAGTTGGTCCATTTTAGAAGAAAACCCTCCCTCCCAGCAAGAAGCAGCCGGCACACTGGCTAGCATGGTCCACTCTTATGCTGCTGTCTGCCCTGCCATACTGCTTCTGTCTCTACTATAAGGTTACAAACCCTCATCGGTTTTACACTGTGGTGTGTGTGTGTTTTCCACACTGCCGCCGAGCTCTTCAAAGCATACATCGTATGCAGGTCTCCGTGCAGTCATCCACACACTTTCATGCCCCGGCCTCCATGACACCCCTACTCCAGTAGTGAACAAACCATTGAAGATGGCACTGTGCGGACAGTGTGGTTGACCTATTACCCCCCAGTCTGTTCATGTTCCTCTGGTTTGGGATATTTGGATTTCATGGCTTATCATCATGAAAGTTTAGGATGAATGGACCCTCAGAGCCTCTTCTGAAGGCTAAAGTGCTGACTGAGGTACTCCCCAAGGAGGAATTTCATGCCGAGAAAGTGATATTTTTAAGACTTTGCTCATCTTGCCTAATTGTCTTTGAAATTCCTAACTACCTCCTTTTGGCTGTGAATTAATTAACTGTGTTTGTGTGTGTGTGTGTGTCACATACTCATCATCCTTAAATATTATATTAAAAAGAGTAAGTTCATAGGAAAGCCATGCTTGGGTATATAAATGTCAAATACAGTCACAGATGTACAAATCAAACCACAATGTCTCTGGAGAAGGTTTACAATGCTTGTTCCATCTGTTTTCAACGTTTGTGTTATTGAGACTTGACATAACCTCTTACACACACACACACACACACACACACACACACACAAGTTGATGTTCCAGCAGTTTTAAATGTGCCTTCACTGAGTCAGATTTAAAAGCAAAGGACAGTCCATCTTTGCTGAGAGTCCTGGTTTGATTCTGACTGTGACAGTGTGTGTGTGTACCATGCATATGTAAGAATCTCATCCTTCTGAACTTTCTGTTCTGGGAAAAAAGGAAATAGCAAGCATTTACAAATCATTCATTCATCACCAGGAAGATATATGATAACATGGTTTATTTTTCAATGAGGAAACCAAGGATCTAATGGGTTAAGTGGCTGAGTAATGAGCCCAAGCCACCTGGCTTGCCCCGTAGTTGGAAGAGATTTACTTTGGTTGTGTTTCTGGGACAGGTTGACAGAGGTGACCTCTTGAGTCTAGATCCCTGTAGTGGTCTCATCTCTTGTCTTCCATTCTCAGCTTTCTGTTCAATGCTGACATTCCAACTATGGACTGTCTGTGATAAAAACATTAGAGACGGGGCTCACCTGAAACCCAGACACCAAGTAAAGTCATCGTGAGTTAAAATGGTGTTCTCCCAAAGGAGAAATCTGTCTTCGCAAAAGTGTGTGGCGTCAATATGCAGGGGCAGAAACCATAGAAACGGAAGGGAGTCAGGGGAGCCTTCAGGAACCCTGACAATTGGCACTTAACGTTCCAAACTAAGTATCTGGAGGATGAAGGGTAGTAGAAACAGCTGGATGAAGGGTAGTGGAAACGGCTGGGGGGTTTCTACTGTTATCAATGGTGAAGGAGCACTCCCACACCAGGAGAGCCTGCATTTCCCTGTGGAGACATGCTAAGGCAGCTGATCTCTCTGGTCACCGTGACCGCACAAGGAGAGGGTCCCTTCTTCCTCTCTCCCTGTGATTCGGGGACCATCTCGGTTTCCCTAAGTGATAGTAAGTGGGAAAACCACACAGCACACCTGTGGCATGGTCCTCACTGAGAGAAGGTCGCACATGAGAACCAAGTGTCTGAGACTCTGAGAGGTGTCACTGTGTGACAGGTTGAAATCTCTCGGCGCTGAACTCTTCCTTCCCTGTAGGGACCAAGGGGCTCTCAGAGCTCCCGAGGCAGCATTGTGTGTTACGTTTCACAAGGAACAAATAATGGGAAGGCTTTGGCTGCAAGCAAGCCTCGGCCTGGCTGCCAAGCTGGTGTGGTGGCACTTTCCGGTAGCTCTGACTTCTGAGAGGAAGGGGGAGGTGGGTGTGAGGCCAGTCTGCGTCACAGCAGTGAGTTCGGAATACTGAAAAGTCCAAACTGACACCACAGCCTCCCTCACAACTCGACTACAGTTGGGATGAGAACTCAGAGAAAGGTTGAGGAGGCACAGGACTCTGGCTGTTATCCGTAGAATACTAGTAATGCCCCGTGGGCTCAGAGCTCCTCACAGCAGACACGTGCTGCGCTATTATTCTGCAGCTGTGACCCCTTATTTGGGGAAAAATGTCTTGTGATTTCTTGACCACTCAGAAGAGCATCCAGCACATGTCACCCCTTCTTTAATCGGAGGAAAAATCCCGAAAGGCACCTTTTCCAGTTCCACATGAGAAAGAAGAGGGTTAGCGCAGGAACCAGCTCAGACCTCCTGGCTGACACAGCATTGCAGTACTAGGACCTTCTTTTGGAAGAATTTTAACACTTGAAGATGCTCCAAGCTCTGCAATCTAACCTCTTGTCTGGAGCTGACCTGGAATGAGGAAGCTAGGGGAGTTTAAGATGGTTCTAGCCGGGCGGTGGTGGCACACGCCTTTAATCCCAGCACTCGGGAGGCAGAGGCAGGTGGATCTCTGTGAGCTCGAGGCCAGGCTGAACCGATAGCCTCCGAAACAATACAGAGAAACCCTGCCTCGTAAAAACCAAAAAAAAAAAAAAAAAAGATGGTTCTTTGTCTGTTGTAATTTTAAAAAGGAGTGTGTGAGAGAAAGACGCCATGCTGCAGAGCTTGGGGGGATTATTGGAAAATGAATGGGATAAAGGTGGGAGGGGAGAGGGAGACCAACCTCTGGGGACAGGAGTGGCAGAGGAGAAGATAGAGGAAGGGAGTGGGGGAGGGAGAAGAGACAGAGAGAAGGAGAGACAGAGACAGGCAGAGAAGCGGAGAGAGAAAGGGAGAGAATGAGAGGTGGGCAGGTGGCGCTCTTTGTGCCTGCAGCTGAGGGTGTGTCCTGTCAGAACCCCAAGGATAGGCCAGTGCAGATGCCTGAATACTGACAGTCTGTACATAGTGAACATCTTCAAATGTATTCTCGCGTAGCGTCTAAAAAACACAGTCAACATCAGAAAGAAAATACACGAGGAATGAGTAAATCAACCCAGTTAGCATATTGATGACCTCATTCTCTCTCAACAGTTTTTGAGGAGAATGTTTGAAATTTACTGTCTTACACTGGGCGTGTTGGCGCATGCCTGTAATCTGAGTACTTGGGAGACTGAAGGAGATAGATCAAGAGTTTCTAGGCCAGTCTCAACTACATAGTAAGAAATTGTTTCAAGAAATAATAGTACTGAGTAGTATGATGATGATGGTGATGACGACAATAATTTCCAAGTAACAATCAAAAGAGACTTTTGAAAGGCACGCTAGTGCGCCCCTGCCTGGGCTGCCAGGGCCTGGTGGTAGGCCTCTCTGGCTTACAGACCTGGAGCAGCCCAGGCAGACCCAGCTTGCTCTATCCTTGCTTCCAGTCTCTGCTCTCCGCTCTGCCCCGTGGTCTGTAGAACGACATACTGTGATATCCTAGTTGCGAGTACACACTCTCCAGCTAAATGCTGGCGGGCCTTGGGCAAGCCTGTCTTCATGGTATGGCAGTAGCAGTCTAGAGCCCTGAGTGTGGCGAGCATTTTGGTGAGGC